TTACTGTTCATTCATTCTCCAATTCTCAGCTCAGTGTGTTCTATGGTCTACTCACCTGTCTTCCTTCGGCCTTGAGAGTTCCAAGTTATGGGTTGCTTCGTGATGTCGTTATAAGCTATACATCACCTTTTTTTCTAAATTGCTGATAATGTGGATTGGATTGGATTATCGCAGTATGAAAACTATTTTGTTGTATTCATGTGTTGTAAGACAATATCATATATTGTTTTATAAATATACTATGTCAGTATACCATCATGCTAATAAGACGACACAGACGTTGAACCAGAGAAATACATTTATCTTCAGAGTTGAAATCACGAACTGTTCTTCGGTAGACCACCATTTAAAATCTGGAAGCACTAGACAGCCATTTCGTCTGAGTATGGAACTTGTCAACGGTGAACATTCACGACCTCAGATACGATAAATAAACTCAAGACATTCGAAGTTGGGCGTGAATTCCTAGCCCCTAGATCACTAGACCGGCATCTTACTGCCTAAATGTTAAGCGATCGTGAGCGAGACAGACGTTCCCATATTTGAATCTCACTTCCGGGGTCATGGATGGGTACCAACGCGCCAAAATATGTATCGATGAGGAGTCCCATCCTAAGACAAAAAAGCTGTTTAGTGCTTTCTTGTTTTAAGTAGGGATCAAGCTACGATCAGTGTGTGATATAAAACTGTGAAGATATTACAGGCTTCGCAAATGCGCTTTATCAACTCATGTAGATTTAAAAGTTGATCACCTATTAACTCTACGTTCAGTATAAATACTATTTTCTTGTTTCTTTCATTACTGCCTACATGCGGTTCATTTTTTATGAGAAATGTTTAGAAAAATCCATGTTAACGAATGACCTCATAATTTCATTGGATTCGTGAACTGGATAATGTCTGAATATCAGTGGAAACCTAAATGCACTGAACAGCTGTTTTGTCCTAATATCAGCAACGTGAATGTACAATCTGCAGATAGAACTCGAACACAAAACCGACATTCTCGTCCACAAACGCTTAACGTGTTGACCGCTGAGTATGGTTTCAATATTTAACTTCAATCATTCCATCCACTGTCTTCGGTGAGTTACTGCCTTACACGTGACAATACTGAAATTCACTGGTCATGGCTTTTCATTAGAATTTCCTCGCGAAGCTAGTCACTAGTGAATGCATGACAACTGCTATTATATGGTTGTGGATTAGTTGTAATTATAAATTAATGCTGTTGGAAGCTGGTTCTGTGATCGTCACGTAAAGCCTTCATGAGCCGAGTTCGATCTCAGCTTCAAGCGGCATAGATGCTGGCTAGTAACGAGTCCCATACTAGCATCAAACAACCAAACAGTGTTTTCATGTATCTAATTGTTGTCTTAAATTGTTCAGTTAATGTTTTCAATGAAATTCAACACTCTTCACAATTCTCTAATTATAGTCTCATCAGTCAGTCAGTCATTCAGTTACAACGTAGAACTTCGAACGTAAGTATATCAGTTCAGATTGCAATAACACATTAGTTCAGGGACGCAATTGTCAGTTCAAATCCTATAGTAGTAGCAATAGTAGAAGTATTAGCAGTTATGCAGAAGATTCGGATTTTAAGATATTATTCAAGAAATTTAATTCAAGGAGATAAGTTTAGAAAGACAAAGTTTGAGGTGTTGAAGAATCCAGAAGGTTAGGATTTGAGAGAACACAAAAAGTGGATGCACCTGTGCCCCTGCATACGATTTTGAGCCATGTTATTCAAGGTGTCTAACTTTCTGTGACTATCGTCTCGCGGACCCCAACCAGGTAGCCTACATCTACCAACATGACTCAGTCCACTTGTCAGTGACTTTATGGATTTCTGCCATGTTTTGGTCTGGCCGCCCCTAACTTTCGTCCAACCTATTCCTACACCATCAAACATAGCTCGTCGAGGCAGTGAGTGGTTGGGTATTCGTAATACATGTTCCAACGTCCTCAATTGATCAAGTTTCAGCACTTCATCTATTGATCTGCCATTCTTACCTAGCACCCGTTTCCTAATAATAGCGTTGCTCACTCGGTCGTCACAGGATATACGAGCAATGTTTCAAGGACACCTATGATCGAAAACCAGTAACCTACGAATATCTTCTACTTTTAACAGGGTTTTTTAAAATAACCACAGCGTTTTTTAAAATTTTTTGTAATCCTTAGAATGTCAGAAATAAGTAGAAAAAACAACTTGATTTCGAATGAAAAAAGAAAAAGCCTTATAAAAAAGTTATTGAAGATGGATACAGCGTCAAGGATGCGGCATTTCTTACAGATGTAAACTATCAGGCCGCTACAAATATTATAAGGTTGTATAAAAAGGAATCGCGAGTTGAGAAGAAAAAAACAGGAAAACCATCAAATAAGAAGATATGCGGTGATATTATCAATTTTGTTGAAGAATTGATAGAATTAAACCCGTTAATAACGATGATAGAAATTCGAGAAAAAATAGAAAACATATTTTCTATAGGCCTTTCTCTTGAATCTATAAGAAGGATAATTTATAGACTTCAGATTACTTTGAAAAAGATTTCTTATACATCGGTCAATATAAATTCGGAATCCAGTAAAAACAAACGCCAAATTTATGCTCAAAATTTTATGAACATTGAAGATACATTTATAAAAGTTTTGATAGATGAATCTTCTTTTAATTTGTACTTAAGAAGAACCTTGGGAAGATCTACAAGAGGAAAACCGGCAAGTGCCCTAGTTCCATCAACGCGTGGAACCAATATAAGTTTAATATCGGCTATAACAGAAAATGAAGTTCTCTTTGCTAAAACATTTGTTAATTCAGTGAATTCAGATAAGTTCATTCAGTTTTTTAATCAACTAATTGAAAAATGCAATCAAAAATCAATTTTTCAAGAATTGTATTTTTATACTTGATAATGCGAGGATTCATCACTCAATTATCACAAAAAACATTTTTGATGAAAAGGGAGTAAACGTTTTTGTTTTTTGTCTTCCTATAGTTACATGCTTAACCCAATCGAATTCGCGTTTTCGAAAATTATAAATCCATTGTAAGAAGATCTCTGGCGAGCGGATCCAACGAATCTTTTATATATATAAATCTAATACTAAATTCTGTAAATCAATTAACCAGGGATGATGTACAAGGTTATTCAAGACACATACGTCGCAATTGTTTAAAAGCGATTGCTAAAGAAGATTTTAATTAAAAGTAGTTCTTATTTTATTTTTTCAAAAAAATTTTAAAAAACGCTGTGAAAATTTTAAAAAATTTTTTGGTTATTTTAAAAAAACCCTGTTAAAAGTTTAAAAAACGAGTTGAAATACTATAAATTACTTTAGTTGTTAACATCATCCATCATCCAAATTTTTGTATTCAATAATATTCTAGTTTAACACAGTCAGTTAACTGAAATTTGGAATTTAATTCTTTTTTCTTTCAAAATTAGAAAATATTTTGACAATGTTTGTTTTTGGCGGCATTTCATGCAAAATTTCTCAAATACTTTTTAATTGACAGAGACATTGTTTGTTCTTTTCTACAAAATTTTAAAAGTACGCGCTAAAACTCACTCCAGTGCACTTCGCTGCATTGAATTGAATTGATCACACCTTGTAAAACCATTCTGTACTGGATAAGCTCTTTTCAATAATACAATTGTAACATTATACCAGTCAATAGTATCATGCATAAGATGATTACGTATTTCTACATTTGTGTGCATATTTGTGATTGCTACATGCTGCATGCTATTGTTTTTTCGCATGATCGATTATCATCGATCAGTTTACATTCCATAAGAAAAATGTTGTGTTTTTAGGTTTGATGTGAGTGCGGGTAACACTGGTTTGGTTTTCTTTTTTACTTCCAAAACATCAAAATAATAGACTCAATTTTTAATAAGCTATGAAGAAAACACTTTCTGTCATCTTAATCTACATTATGAAAGATTAATTCTCTCTCTCTGTCATCGTGTCATCCTATTTTAATCTGCTATACTGCACACGTGGTTTATTCAATAAAAAAAAAACTATGAAAGTTTTCAATAAAAACGTTGTTAGATTTTTCCAGTCCTTGGAAAAATGATCAAATTTTGTAGAGTATGGTTTGACGGCATTAATTAAAACAAACTTTTTTGACTGTCGAAAAATTCTGATTGATCAATTCTTTCGGAATCATATATGACTAATTTTGTCTAGAAACACGATGAAAGTTTTACAATAAATTCCTCATTATAGGCTTCAAATATTTTGTATCAAATAACTAAACTGTTCTTTTGCCAAATATTTATTTTGCATTAGAGTATTATAGATATCGTATTTTTACCGTGAAATCATGAATGAACCATTGTTAAGCCACAATTAGAAACCTGGAAGCATTGGACAGCCGTTTTGTCCTGGTATGGGACTCATCAGCAGCGCGTACCCATGACTCCTGCTACTCGTAGGGTTCGGACACCGTACCCTCTGCGTTTCACGTGAACGCCTAACCTCTGCACCTATAAGCCAGCATCCAACGGTGTCAATGTCTAACTCTTATCAATCTAAGAATTTCTAGAAACGCCACCCATTGCTGCCTACTTTCGACAGGGTTTATCACAACTGGTCACGTCTTTTCACTAGGACTCTGAGAACCTTAAGAAGCTAGTCACGAGTGAGCACATTTTTCGATTTTGTATTGAAGTATTATGGAGAACGTAGTTTTCTCTTCAAATTATGATGTTTATTAGCAATCCAAAAAAGGATTCGACATCTGTTTCATCTAATCATATTGATACAATAAATCAGTACTAAAAGATTGTTTTCTTCTTTCTGGTTGTAGGTAATTCAAAGTACCTTATAACGCCACTAGAATTAGCCTTCCATATATTACCGATTTGTAAATAATCATATGCATATATATCCTCTCTTCTAAGTAAATTCTATGATTGAGCTGTGTTTTACTCTAACACTGTCAAAATTTCACAAGTTTAAGCAATTACAAAACAGAACACTGACAGTATAACTATTGTATTCACAATTTCATTATATAAGTAGCAATAATAATAATAATGATAATAGTTTCAATAAAACATGTTTTTGAACAAAAAAGTTTACAAGTGAGCATTATTCTTTCATATACGTCACCATTTAGTATGTTTTTTCGCTCTATTCACATTCATTAGGTTGATTAGTGACTACTGAAATTCTATCCTGATTTATAAAGTAGTACAGCATACTTTTCCACGTAAAAATAGATAAAACTATCTGGTTCATGTGTAACAGAACTAAAATATCAACCAAGAAAAAAAAACAATACAAGGACAATAATTCATATGATAAATTTGACCAAATAAATGAAAACATCTTCGAACTTATTGCGTCTTTTTTTTGTTTGAAACTACTGCTATCAAAACATACATTTATCACTTATTAAAAATCATGAATGGATTAATGTTAGAAAACCATTAGAAACCTGGAAGCACTGAAAGGCCGTTTTGTCCTAGTATGGAACTCATCAGAGCAGGGTGAATCCACAACTCCTACACCTCACTGGCATTGGTGACTTTTGTGTCAAGGTTGTTTACAAATGAAATTCTTCAGTTATTTTTCAAACTTCATTTTTTTTAATAGTTTTAATCAGTTAATCAGTCCTTTTTCATAGTCATTATTACTTAGCAATCTTATCGTCGCTTTTATTACGTAATCTCGTCGTTATTTATTAACGACTATTAGATGACAAGATTTCTGACATTATAATATAAAATATGTCCAATGATTTTACTAAACGATATTATTATGTTTAGGTTGTATGCAACCAATGAAAAATCTCATAAACTTGGAGAATCATCGAAGGCATCATTCACAAGATACAAGTATTAATTAGTAGTTATCTACGCAAAATACTTCGGATACGTTGGCCAGACACCATCGACAACAACCTACTTTATGAGGAAACAAACCAGGTTCAAGTAGGAGAAGATATTAGGGTAAAAGCTCTGGAAGTGGATAGGACAGACATTGTGGAAAGCATAGAACTGAGTCACAATACAAGCTGTCACTTGGGATCCTCATAGTCGGATCAGAATAGAAAGACCAAAGAATATATTAAGCTGAGGATTGGAAACAGACATGGAAAAAAGGGACAGTGATTGGATAGAACTGGAAAGGAAGGCCTAGGACAGAGTAGGTTGAAGAAAAACTTAGTCAGCAGTCTGTTGTGCTCCATCCACTAGCATGAGGCAAAGGAAAAATTAATAACTTACTTACCTGCCAAAATTTCTTCCCACTATACAATGCCATGTTGGACCATATCTTGTATCGAAATCTTTTTTCAAATGATCAGCTATATCTTTTTCTAATTCATATTTTCGAACTGAATCCATGCCAACAGTTAATGCACGTTTTTGCATTTCACTTGACATATCAGCATTTTTAATTACTGAATTATTCATGATATCTTATCTTTCACTAGTTGTACAATCAATAATTGAATGTTGAACTCGGGAATAATAATTGAGCTTCACAATGAAATCCCTGAGTATTTACTATTGAATATGTGAATTATGCTTTAAATTGATCAAAGAGAAAAATTCTTGAATGTTACCTGCACAATGAATTGTTTAAATTTTGCAATAATCAATGTTATACTAAACTTATTCGTTTATACATAAATATATATATGTGTGTATGATTGTGTATGTATGTATTGGTAAATGTTGAATACAAGAATACATTTACAGTATTTGCTAGTTTAGTTATTTGTTAACTTGAATGACGTTTTCTGTTGTGCTTTTTTTTCAAAAAATTGAAAATGTAATCTATTTCAATCAGACAAGCTTTAACACATTTGTGTGATAGGTTAGACTGATGTGTATGATTTTGTTTCTATCTATTATCAGTAAATTGTGTATATAGATAGACTTTATAATCTTGAAAAAAAAAACATTTTATAAACACATAAAAGTTATAGAATTTTAATCAATAATGTTCTATACAGCGAACATCATCAAAGAGTTTCTTTAAACTTATTAGATGTATCTGTATGAACACAGTGTTACAGACTGCTTTGATAATAATCGTCATTGTTATCATGAAACTATAACTCCGCCTGGAACCCTTCTGGGATTACTGCCAGTCGCAAGCCTGGTCGGTTGGATATGGGGTGAGCGACCTCATCCTGTATAAAATCAACTGGCTAAAAAAAGATGCTTGCCAGAAAAAATAATTCAAACTATTTAAACATTGCCCTGAGACTTGGAAAGTTTTTATTTAGAAGAGTTATGACGTCCTATGATGAAAGTCGAGGCCGATGACCCTTCTAACAGTCAGATCAACCGTTTATATTGGAACATGATTGTAGTCAGAAAGGCTGTGGAAATGAGTAGGTTGGAGAATGCTAGTCATTGGCCTGTGCTTCATTAGGAGTAACAGGCGTACGTGGGTAGATGAGTAATTATGGAACTATATTTACTAGAGAATATATATAAAATAATGAATATATATGATAAATACAGTTACATATAGTTTTAACGATTACATCTGCATATCAATATCTTCTTTACCATTTTAGGCAACTAAGTTACTTTGCTGTTAGTGATCAAGTTAATAACATACAATTTGAAATCCAACATGATGAGTGAATGCCTTACAAGTTCCAATGTTGTTTTGTTTAATCTATTTCAGTTGGCAGGCTATTTACGATGTATTCTGTAATGAATGTATCGCAATCCGTAATCCCTATTTGTCAAGAGTTCGTGCAAAAGTTATGCAGTATATCTGATATGTGACAAACTGTAACAAACGTTCATAACCTACGATAGCTATCAGTGGAATTCAGGACAAGCGTTCTATCCAATTTAGAATTCGTCAGCAAGATGTACCTGTATTCCGAAGTGGATGCCCACCCCGGGGACTCGAACTCAGTACTGTTTACACAGGACGCCATATCACTATCTACTTAGCTACTGAAACTAACCAACCACTTACTTATGAAACGGGTATAGGATTTAATCCAATTTGATTTAGTTTTTATCAGTAAAAGAGATTGCAAATTGTTTCTCAGTTTTTAACTCAGAAACTACTGGCTCACGAGTATGCAGTGAACTTTCAGACTTTTAACAATGGTCTGATGAAGATCATTTTGTAATTGAATATTATGAGAGAATTTTCAATCACACTGATATTAACTTCACGAAAAACTTGGCTATACATTTCAATATTTTGCTTAACAGATAATAATTATCTGATCATAATACACAGAAATCCATCTCATTCCTCTCATAGAACAGATAAATTGCCATGACCATAGAACCTGAAATGATAACAAATTATCGATCAACAATTTTGTGAACATTTTTGAATACCCTAACCAATGACATATGCTAAGTAGTGTTACAAAGTTATAAATTCATCAAGGAGAGAAGGGAATAATAAATGTGTATAAACTTTTCTCTGAAGTAGTATTATTCTTAAGCTGCGTTAGTAGCATAATTTACCTAAAAATAGTGAGTATCTAGAGTTTAATTTAGAACGTTTTCAAGAAATTAACTATGCATTGAAAGAAAGATTCAAGGTGTTCAGTTTCAACCATAAATTTAAATATCTTAGATCGTTGTCTATTAGTCAGCATCACATTAAAAAATGAAGTTGGACAGAAAATCATAAAGATAATATTGAGAAGAATAATAATGTAATAAGGGAGGAAAACACAGAAAAAAGGTTAACGGACAGCTTGTAGTGGTGTTCTGTTCTCTGACCTGAATATTTTGGTTGTGAAGCTTTCATTGTTCTTCTGAACAATAATATCATCGGTACAAACTTCACATTAGAAGTAAAGTATTTGAATTTCTCCACGTTTGACGCGTAGCTTGTTCTGTTAACCTCGATCTTGATTGGTTATTATGGACCTTAAACCTGTCGTTGTTTGCACCTTTGTTTTGATTGTTTCCTCATTTTAATCGGTTTCTTGATCCTACGTTATAATATCCAGTTTAGAGAACACGAAACATTACCACAGTCTAACATTTGTGTTTGACAAATGTAATATAGTTATTATTACTTGAGAAGAGATGACAACCACTTCGCATGAATTTTCTAGTCACGTAATAATATGAAGAACATTTTAATTAATTTCCTTGTCACTCATACATACTGAGGCTAGATATTGTTTGCATCTTATAGAACAAATATGGATCAGTAGAGACAAAGCCGCAAAGACAATCGGTTTACGAGGTAGGATGCCCTGTGTTTGCCCGCGACTACAGAATGAACCATGATTTTTGGGCAGAAGCGCGAGTGGTCAGAAGAGTTGGTCGAGTTATGTACGAGGTAGAGGTAGGAGGTGACAAATGGTCACGTCATCGAAATCAGATAAGCAGACGGCTAGCCTCAGATCGCCCATCAAGAGCAGAAAGCCTTCCCCTCGACATCTTGCTTGATAACTTCAAACTACCGGCAGACACGCCACGAGAAGAAACTCAGCAGCAAGCTGTTCTTCATCCCCGAAGGTATCTTCTCAGACAGCGACGAACGACAGTGAAGATGTAAGTCGACTCCAGGAGAACACGCTATTAAAAAGGGGAGTAATGTTGGGGATCTAAGATCCTCGAAATTCGCTTGATAAATGCCTTATTTTGGTTTTCACGTTTGCCAGCATGGGCTGATCAGTTGACCTTGAGATTTCAATTCCCACCAGGAAAATCCGTGGCTGTGATTGGCTGCTGTGTATTTTAGTGTGTTATTTTCTTAACTGTCTCAAGGACGTTTCTATGTAGTATAAATAAACGAAAGTTGTATGCTTGATTGTACCGTGCTTGCTCGGTGTTTATAGAATATACTTTCTACGCTTACCAAGACTTCTGTTTTACCGTTGGGATTCAAGGTAGCCTACCTGGACGCTGGTAATTGTCTCGTTCGCGTTTATCGACTAAGGTGAACTCGTAATAGCCTCAAGCATACCTAGTGACGAACCTTAAAGTCTAGATATGGTATTCAGTGTGCTTCAAAAATGATTTCACTTACTTGTATCGCTAGTAAATAATTAAACTAATTAGGTCAGAAATCTAGAATGTGACAAAACTTTACATATCAGAGCAATCTTACAGTAAGCATCACATAACATGCAGATATAGGTGATAGTCTAGGTTATAGTTCAGCTAAATGATCAGATTCCATTAAAGACACAAAAACAGGGTAACATGTTCTGTATTTATACTGATATTACAAAGAATACAGCTAAACAGATAAATAAGCAAAGTTTATTTTCGCAATTGAAATCACCAGCTCATTTAGGCTACACCATGATTAGAAAACTGGAAGAAACATCTAAAAACCTCAAATTCAGGTTTTAATTTTTAATTAGTCAACACTATAAAACATTATACAAGTTAATAAAGCCACACAGATTTGTGTTTTTGTTAGTTACATAGTATGACAATATCAATACGTTAAGAATCCTGAAGTAAACAATTTAGTACTTGGTTGGAAAACGAATTTCAACATATAATTAATTTTTCCAATATTCACACATCTGAAAGCATGATATTTAGTTTAACATGTCAAATATTCATCGAAGTCATAATTCGATCATTATTAGACCATTATTAGAAACCTGGCAACACTGGACGGCGATGTCGTTCTGGTATGAGACTCATTAGCGGTGTGCATCCACGATCCCCGCTTGAAGGAATCGAGCTCAGGGTTCTCAGTCTCTTGACAGAACGCTTAACGTCTAGACCTCATCCACTGTTTTCGGTGAGCATTGCTTCACAATCGACAGGGTTAAACTCCACTGGTCACGACTTCTCGCTAGAACACCGACAGCTTCCTCATTAACCTAGTAATTACTAGTGAGCATATTTTCCACTCTAGAGTTGTCAAAAATGATGAGTTTAATTATAATCATTAATCAAATCTTGACGTCTTATTTCTAGACATATTACTTAGCATGCATAATTTTCTTGTTTATTTCGGAGTACCACCTTTACCGCAATTCAGTCAGTTTGATAGATTACACTGAATTAAAAAACACATTTTAACTATTCTATCTTGTTCCAAATATGAGAATAATAACTGAAATCGTTACCAATAAATTGTGGTTTTGTACTAGATTTTTTTCTCCTACTGTAGTGAACGAGAACACAGGTGGGACAACGGAATTGTATTGAACAAAAATTACAGAGTTACTCAGTAAATTAGGAAAACCATATCGTAAATCGTTAATTTGCAAAATATCACTTCATCATATCGAACTGAACTGTTCCTGTTACAAAACATCAATCCATTGTCACTATTCATGCGTTTCATACAAATCCCATTGTTTTCTAACTCTTCCTTTCTTGATCTTCCCCCATTTTCTGCTGCCAGACATTACGTTGACGCTCACGTCATATACTACTTATAAGTAGCTCGCACCACACTACTACAGCAAATGATTTACTCCATTTACAAGAAGGCTACACACACTTTTTTGGCAGTTGATTGATTCACTTAAACGATTTTCAATGTATGCGAATATTTGTAACGAATCAATCGACTGATTCATTCATTTCGTACTGAATTATCATTTCTCTAAAAAGTGTTCGTTTACATAATAGATTGTGAACGGTTGTTTTTATTTTTTTTGTTAAATAAGCATATAATTACTTTCATCTTATTAAATTTTATGGAGCTTATCAATGTCGAATTGATAATCGGAACTAATCAATAAATGGATATATTTTTTACAGCTGTTTATGAGAAATACCGATTGATTGCATAGGTTTCAAATGATGAGTTTCATTTTTGGGTATTTAATATAGTAGGTGAGAAATGTGTTTGATAGATAATCAGTGCTTCGATTTATTATTTATTGATAAAACCTCTGTCAAATCTGAATCCTACAATCAATTCAGTTAAAAAAAATTTTAATGGTTTTTTCATGTTATTTTGAAATTTAGGAGAACCCTTTCGCTATGCTTGCGCTAATTAAGAAGAATATGGGCAAAGGGAATGATAACTAGGGATACAACGACAGGACAGCTAATTTATTCTTTGCAGTCGAGCAAGAATTTTGAAGTAGGCAGGACACATATATAATCCACAAGGAACCCTGAGCGAACGAGTTAAACAAGCGCTTAATTCAAGCTTAGGATATGCAGGACGAAAAACGTCCTTTGAAGAGTTACGAACTAGTGCAGTAGAAGAGATAGCTAACCAATGAGGTGTAAAGTCCTTTCAACTGGGAGGCACAAACTGACGTTAATAAGAGGCAATTTTCGCACTAAAATAGGAAACTCACAATTCCATAAATAAATTATAAAGCGATTTCTGAGGATCTAGCATTCTTAACACCTTTTTTTCCTTGCTTGGTACCAGGTTATTTTCAGTACTTTGGGTTTGTCACCATAGATTGGGAAACTAAGAGTCCCATTTAAACAGCTGCAACCTGGAGGCGGTTGGAATAAGTGAAACCCATTGAACAGAAGATGGACAGAAAAGACTGGCCTCGGAAAGACGTTGTCGTACTTCGACCATGAAGAAGAAAAGGCTTCGCAGACCGAAAGAATTACTTTAATGTTGCCCTGAAGATCAAAGAAATCATTGTTTAGGATGGAGGGTGCAGTCGATCGTAGTAAAACGACCATAACAGCAATTGACTACTCTCATGGAAGACCTAAAAGCCAAGGTTGGAATGGACAACACTGAACATAAAGACATCATGGAATGACATGCACTGAGAGAACAGGACAGAAACGATGAGAGATTCGCAAACCTATGTGCCTTCAAAAAATGGTTATAGGCCGCACCATATTCCCACATAAAAGCGTAAGAAGAGAGACATGGGTTTTGCTAGATTATACTACACAGGAGTAAATCGATCACATCCAAATCAGCTTGGTGAACAGCATCATAAACGCTTCACGCAGCCTTTCTTCGGAATACTGAAAAACTTAATGAATCCAAGATAGCTCTCACCTGCAAGTTCCACACCTTTAACCATCGACTCATTGAACAGGAAACTACCATGGTATATAACTGGAAAGGGGTCAAGGCGGCAATCACTTCAGCATATCATCAGGTTCCGGGCCAGAAGAAGTACCATCATAAGCAATAGATCTCGGTAGATACCTTGGATAAAATTCAAGAAAGGAAGAATAAAACGCAGCAATCAATATCGGACAAACAAGAGGAAAGAAAGCTAAGGTAAAGACCGAATACAAAGAAGCAAACAACAAAGTGAAGAGAGGCATTAGATGTATCAAAGGAAATATGTGGAAGATCAAGTAACGATAGCAAAAAAAGTTGCCAGAGAAGAAAATTTGAGACAAATATATGACACAAAGAAGAAGCTCGCCAGAAAATACAGTAAACCAGAACGATCAGTGAAAAGCAAGGAAGGCTAAGCAATCACAAGAATTGAAGAACAGTGAAGCAGGTGGGCGTAGCACTTTGAATAAACCAGCCCCGTTGAACCTACGCAACACTGAAGCAGCACATATAGACCTTCTAATTGATTTTGGTACATCTGCAAATGCAGAGATCAGTATGGCCGTCAGACAAAGCAAGAGCGGCAAAACATCGGGACATGACAACATTCTCTCTGAGGCACTGGGAGCAGACATTACAGTAACCGCGAATATGTTCCAAGCTCTGTTCAACAAGATTTGAGAGGAAAAACGAGTACTAGCAAACTGGGAAGAAGAATGTCTAGTAAAGATAGATACCAAAGAAAGGAGATCTCAGTAAGTGTGAGAACAACAGTGGAATCATCCGACTATCAATACCAGAAATAGTCTTCAACAGAATATTAAACCGAATAAATGATTCAGGAGAAGCCAAACCTCGAGATTGGCACGCTGGATTCCCTTAGGACTGGGTCTGTATTGACCACATCGCGACACTATGGATCATAGTGAAACAATCAAATGAATGGAATTCACTATTCGACATCAACTTACTTGACTGCGAGAAAGAATTTGACAATTTGCAATGGAGAACACGGTGAGAAGTTCTTTGACACTGATGTTCATGAGAAGATAGTCAACATCATACGGAATTCTTATGACGGTCTGCTTTGTAAAATCGTGCATGAAGGGAAGATCACAGACATATTTCAAGTGGACTCTTGTGTCAGTTACGGTTGTTTACTCTCACCCTTTCTCTTTCTCCTAGTGATTGTCTGGGTTCTTAAAACGTCAGCATCCCAGTTGAAGCACGGAATACAGTCAACAGCTCGGCTGCATTTAGACGATATTGACTTCGCAGATGATCTAGCTTTTCTATTCCACAAACATCAGCGGATGCAGGTGAAAACGGGCAGTGCAGTAGCATACTCTGCAGCAGTAGGTCCCAACATACATAGTGGAAAAAAGAAGATCCCTTGATGCAACACAACATACACCAAAGAAATCACACTTGATGAAGAAGCTTCGGAAGATGTAGAAACCTTTACATATCTTGGCAGCATCATTGACGAGTAAGGTGGATCTGACGTAGAGGTGAATCCGCGGATCGGCAACTCATAGGCAGGATTTCTTTACTTGAAGAAAGTCTGGAACTCGAAGCAACTACCAACTGACACGATTTTCATTACAAATGTCAAGACAGTTTTACTGTATGGGGTGGAAACTTGAAGAACTATGAATGCTCTCATCCAGAAGATACAAGTATTTATTACCAGTTAACAAAACAAGATACTTTGGATGAGTTGACTGGACACAATCAGCAACACTCTACTGTGGGATAGTACAAACCAGATTCCGGTGGAGGAAGAACTAAGGAAGAAGCGTTGGAGATGAATAGGACACCTACTGAGGAAAAGCACTCAGCTGCGTCACGATGTTATCGCCCACTTTTAATCGTCAATGCCAAAGGAAAGTAGGGAAGATCGAATAACACATTACATCGAGAATCGGAGAGAGATATGAAAAGAATGAATAGGAATTAAATAGAACTGACAAAAAAAGTTTCCGGACAGTGTTGGCTGAGGAATGCTAGTTGTTGTTCTGTGCTCCATCAAGATTAACACCCGTTAGTAAATAAACAAGTTTATTATTACCCATCCTTTTAATGTACAACCGATTTTACAGTGCTTTTTTGTTCACTCACTCACTCACTCATTTGCTCACGTTGTTTTGAATGTATTACTTAAGAAAATCTCTTACGTTTATCATTCATTATTCAAGCATTAGCTGTATGTTCTCGATTTCTTTCATATTAAGGTATATATTGCTAATATCTTCATGAATGGATTGATGTACGTGATATACGTGCGATGTAACTAGTATCCAAAACAATTTAAGTGCATTTCTACAGAAACTTCAGTTTATAGTACCAAGAAGTACAGTATATACACATTCACATGATCCTTATTATAAGTTTTTTTCTTTTAAAAAAAATTAATTATTCTTAAAAGAATCTTTATCTGAGAAAATTTCTATTCATCATTTGTAATGATAAAATTCTCATTCATTTCATTACAAATAGTTAGTTATATTATCGATTTAGCCAACATTTGCTATAAATATGTGTACTTATATAGTAGACATGAATAAAAACTGATATAATTTTTTGAGAAAAAGTTTTTTTTTGCGCTTTTATCCATGCCGAACGATCAAACAAAAATAATTATGGCTTATATGTCAAAAGATATGGAGAGTAATGCTACTACTTGGTTTGAAGAAGCTCGTACAACTTATACAACATTTAAAGATATGGCTGATTATTTAAAACAAAAATTTGATCATATCTATGGACGTAATTGGCAATGTATCATTGGACGGGATTTTGAAAGGTGAGTTTATTTAAGGAAATAAAATATTTTGTTTTCTCTAATATCATGATATTTAATAAAATTTTAATGAAGCGAAAAAAATAATTTAACTAATGAGTTGTATTCATCAGAGCAGTACGTATCCACGACTCTTGTTCGTCGGGTTCGAACCCAGGACCTTTGATTTCATGCGCGAACACTTAACCTCTAGACCATTGAGCCAGTGTTAATATTTAACTTTATTCAATCCCTCCTGATACTGAGCAACCTCGCTCGTTGTCTTCAGTGGGTAACTTCCTCACATACAAAAGGATTGGATTCCACTAGTCATAGCTTCTCACTAGAACTTGGAAAATTTCTTCAAGAAGCTAGTCACTAGTGTGCACTGCTTTAGACTCCTGTACTAGGATGAAATGGCTTTCTAATAATGATCTAACAGCGATCAGTTGATTGACAAATATTCCATTGTAGAATGAATTTTCGAAAAAAATTAAAAAAAGGATCCAATGAAAGTTTCTTGTTGACGAAATTATCTACTAAATCTATATTTATGCAAGTCCATAGAAGGGTAGAAAAGATCCTATTAACCAATAGGTACCTAGTGTGCTAGGGAAGTATGGGGATTAGTGTGTGAAGTAATATTGAAGAGGTAAGAACAAGTGAAAAGATGAATGAACGACTCAGTAAAGCTCATCGAATAATGCACTAATATGTGATCGAGAGAAATCGACGGACAACAATCAGAAATAACACTAGCATGAGATTATTACAAACTAGATGATCGAAACTAGAAGTTCATAGAGTACGGTTTTTGAATGCGCTACAAATTATACCATTCAAAAATGTACAAGTAATAAATATTTTATAAATATACTAATAACTTTACCAAACGATAACTTGTATCGTTAAAAAACTATTTTGATTTGATTTATCATACAATCCAAAAATTATATTTTTTTCCTTGTGGATTGAATAAAGTTTCAGCATTGACACTGTTAGATGCCAGCTCAATGGTTTAGAGGTTAAGTGTTCCTGCACGAAACCGAGGCATCTAGCTTCGATCCTCGCATGTAGAGGTCGTGAATGTGTATCGTTGAAGAGTCGCATACTCGAATTTGACAACTAGTACTAGTGTAGTGAAGGAGAACACAGGTGAGGGCAACCCAATCGTATTTAGCGGAAATTACAGAGTTACTCAGTAAACGGTTAATTTGCAAACCTTCAATCCAATTCATCATCAATCCATTGTCTTATATTTCACTATTCATGCGTTTCATACAAAATCCATTGTGTTCCCACTCTTCCTTCCTTGATTTTCCCTCATCTTCTGCTGCCAGACATTACGTTGACACTTACGTCATATACTACTTATAAGTAGCTTGCACCACACTAGTACTTCCAGACTTTTAATAGTGGTCTAACAATGATCAATTTACTATTTCAATTTGAAAGCTATTATCATTTATAAATTAATTAACTATTTTTTTTAATTAAAATAATTAGCGAAGTAAAAAGAATGAAACTTTATACCATTATAAACTAGTTAGAATTGATACTAACTGAAGTTATACAATCAAACTACACAATATCTAAAAATGTCTACTCTAAAAAACTCTGACTATGATTATATTGGTAAATAGAAATTTCAAATGTCTAGCGAATTTTTTTGTATATTCTATTACTGTATGTATCATTTTATTACGAATTGGTTAAACTTATCAAAATAAATCACAGTTCATGCATCAAACTAGTGATGCATTCTCTGCGAAGGTTGATTATCCTAATTCCACTACACATCAGAGTAATCGATTTTGAGATGGTGGAGAAAACTTATATTTCGGGTGGATGATTGTGGTGGTGTTTCGTTCTCTGAGCAGCTTAGATCACTGCTCGAGATATGGAAGCACTGGATGGCCATTTCCTCCTGGTATGGGACTCATCAGCAGTGCACATCCATGACTCCTGCTACTCACGGAAATCTGACCCAGCACCTTTGGTCTTGCGCGCTAACACTTAACCTCCAGACCACTGAGCCGTCATCCTACGGTGTTAATGTCTAACTTCGATAACACTGAACATATGAATAGGATGTCCACCGAAACAAATTTTATGCGTCTCACAAAAACAATAACTTTTTAGATCTATTTTCATCCATCATTCATTCATAAATCAGTTTCAAAGTTGAATGTTCACATTTAAGTGTATGAGTTTGGAGGAGGAAACCGAATTTTCAAAGCATTTCATTCAATGATAACTCATTTTAATTCAAAGTTATTCGCAGTGTTAACCAATGATAACCCGAACACAATATGAAGAATACTTTTAGTGTAACATACTTTCTGAATAAATGCTTAAATAGAATATCTGATTTTTCTTACGTTAAAATGATAACTTATTAAATAATTCCAGTGTGTACATTTCTGTATGATATACATACTTCCGGCTTTTTGGATCATAGATTACACTTATTTATCATGTTAAACGATTTGATGACTTGTAGATCACTGGGAGACTCCCACAAAACATCATAATCTCAATAATAGTTTGTGTCGTTTATGATGAAACCGTAGATCTATTTATCTGAGGCTGGTACAATCATAAACAATTTCGTTTCACTGAAGCGCTGAGGTAGATGTTTTCTTCATGATAGTAGATTCTATGAGCTGGATGGTTAAGTCGTTCATTATTCAGTAAAACGATTTTTCATAGAAATTATCAGTCACTTATTTAAAGTTGATGAAAGAATTTTTGGAATTATTTCACAGATATTGAATCATATCGTTCTAATTTACTTTATTTGTCTCAAACTACTACTATGGATGTAATATTTATCCACAATTATCTTCTCATTGACTTTCTAACTTTCTAATAAACTTGAAATCATATATAACGTGACTTGATTTACTGTTATTACAATCATTAAAATGTTTTATTTTTTCTGCTTTGCACAGTTCAATTACACATTTGGATAATAATCTCATTTATTTTCGTTCAAAAGATTTAGAAATTCTATTGTTTAAAACAGCTTATTAATGAATGAAATAATCAAAAAAATAATAATAATAATCATTCAAATTGTCCCGATTCCATTCGATGAATGAGGATTCCATTGTTTTTTAAATTTTATTTTATCTGAATTCTACAAAAATTTAATTTAATAATAAAAATTTTCAAAAAATAAAAAATAAAAGTTTTTTCTTTTTGTCTTTAAATTCCCAAACGATAATGGGTCTTTCAGGGTAATGTTACCTTAGACAGAATACTGGGAATGAAATAATTGACATAAAGAGAAATGATTGGTCGCTTTTTTTTCAATGTTTGAAATAATTGTACATTGAACTAGTTAAAAACTCACTGTTCAAGTGTACATAATGCATAGAGTTTAGATTTAATTCAATAAATACTAATAAGTGCAATCTATGCAAAAATAGAAGTTTAAATTATCATAATGATGTAGGGAAGTAGAAGAGATCAAAGGCCAAGGTCATAAAAATATGATATAAGGTCAATTTAAGTGTAAGTTGAAAGTAGATTTAATATAGATTAAACAAGATCAAATGAAAGGAAAATAGGAAGGCCAAGGAACACATTACACCAAGAAATAGAGAAAGATATGAGAGGAATGAACTAACATTGGACAGAACTGGAGAGGGAAGCCCAGGACAGAGTTGGTTGGAGAAAACTGGTTGGCGGCCTATGCTCGATTGGGGGTAACAGGCGTAAGTAAGTAAGTAAGTAAGTAGATCAAATGACAGAGACTAGTGATCGTATTGCAGCATGATTCATAGAATTCCATTAGAATCTGTACACAATTCGGTTAACAAAACATCGGTCACTTCTCAATGATACATGAATTAGATGTACACTGAAAAATCAATAAAAAATTTAAGTAGAATATTATTAATTGACATAAAATTTCATTGAAAGATAACGTCGTGCCATGTTAAAATGCAAAAAGATTGTACAAAGTGTTTTTTTGAGAAATACAAGTGATTTTTGACGAAATAAAGTAATATTAAGATTCAGAATTCAAATAAATACTTCATCGTTCCTATATTAGCATGATATAATTTGATTAAGTGATGAGAATATTAACTTGATGAAATAAATGACAGTATGCAACCGAAAAGAAATACAACAAAAAAGCTTCAATCTTTTCATTCTTGTTAACGAATAAGGAAAAAGAAACTGTATTGTTTCAATTTTGTTTCATTAAAGCTTCAGCCAGGCTAATTAACCATCAGTGAACAGTCACTATTTACTTACCTTTTTTTACCTCTAATGGAGCATAGGCTACAGACTGTCTTGGACCTTCATTTCAAGTTCTACCCAATTCCCGTTCAATCTCTTGATATTTATCTCCGGCTTTTGGTGTAATGTGATTCTTGCTCTACCTACCGGCTTTCCTTTTTCATTAGTGATCCAAAGTTGGAGCTAACTTTGTGACGCAGTTTGGTGATTTATGCAGTGTATGTCCTTTCCACCCCAAAGGTGTTCCATTAACTTATTCCTCAGAATGAATATGGTTTGTCTTGTTCCACATAAAGTTGTGGCTGCTAGTATCTGACGATGCGATATTTCATATCTAGAATAGACAGTTGTTTATAAAAATATCTGTATCGTTTGAAATGTGTTTTTTTCTAGATCTACAAGTTTCCACTCCATACATTGAAACGGTTTTGATATTTTTATATTAAAAATTGTGACTATAGTGTTGGTTTTGAGTTGCAAATGTTCTTCAAGTAAAGAAATGCTGAAATTGCTTTGCGGTGCTCTGTCTACATATCTTCATCAGTCAGATCCTCTTATATATTAGTGATGACGTCAAGGTTTACCAAAAGTTTTCTACATTATCTAGTGCTTCTTCGACAAGCGTAATTTGGTTGGTGAATTTTGTTTTGTACCGAAGGATCATACTTCTTCTCTTGTGTATGTTAAGAACTTCTGTTGCAGAGGCGACTGCCACACTGGTCATTTCCACTTGCATTTGTTGCTGTGTGTGTGTAAGATAGAAGATCTAGATCATTTGTGAAGTCCGTACAGTCCAACAGCATCCACGCTATCCACCGTATTCTAATGACTAATCATATGAGATACTTAATAGGCTGGTCATAGAACAATAGTTTCTAATCTGTTTTTATCAGAGGCATCCTAGATGAACTCTTGAGTATATATATATATATATATATATATACTTTTGTGACGAATGATATCAATCAGTAAATTCTACTTGTAATCTAGCCTGGGGAAAATGTAAATGATGAATAGATTTTATTCAAAATTAGTTGCATTATAGAGTAGTGGAGATTGTTGAGTTACTTCTAAACCATGAATCGATTAATGTTAGTCCATCATTAGAAATTCGATAGTGCTTGACTTCCGTTTATTTCCTGGTACGGGACTCATCAGAAATGCCCACTTAAGACTCCTGCTACTTACAGAATTCGAACCGAGGACCTTCGGTCTTGCACGTGGATGCCTTGCCTCTAGATCACTGAGTCAGCATTTAACGGTGCTGATGTCGAACTTTGATCAATCCTTGATCTTACACAACCTCATCTTCTGTCTTCGGTGAGCAACCCAAGAGGACTGAAATCTACTGGTCACGAACTCGATGAAACTTCCTCACGGAACTAGTCACTAGTGAGTGCGTGATAACTTGCATTTTAGTGTTGTGGCCATTGCTGAGTTAATTTAAAATCATGAATGGATCAATGTTAGACCATCATGAGAAACCGAGAACCAGGAGTGGTGGATGTTTATTCTAGGATGAAACGGCCGTGTAATGCTGCCAGGTTTCTAATGTTGGTCTAACATTGATCGATTCATGATTCATGAAACGATAAGTGAACATTCATAAAATGTACAATAATACTTTCGAATATTCTTCTGAAACTTACTTATCAAATCACATTCAATAACCAGTAAGTCGATTTAAATTATTTATTTCTGTAAACCAAACACAATTCAAGTAAATGAATTTTCATTATAGGAAAATGTTCATCCAAATGATATACGCATACATAGTTGTTTTAGTACATAATGAAAATTACTCATGTAAAAGTAGTGGTATATGAGATTTTTTTTAAAAAAAAATTTAATTTTTAAAATGTACTAAGAGTTTGTACTTTATTGTAATGTTATGAGGACAAGAATGATAGAGAATTTCCACCGGCTGAAATACATTGAATGAATTATTATGTAACAAGTGTTATGTACTATTCATGCATTCTGAGAATGTAGAATATTCCCTTCTCTTAAATTTTTTGTAAAATATTTAAATTACTATGATAAATTTAGTTATTTGGGTTTGATTATTGATTTGATTATTTATGCTAAGCCACTAACAACTACTGCATAATACAAGGAACAATTACATTGGAACCAGTTGGCGGAAGTTGAAAAATAGACTAAACTGATGCTTTGCTTTGTATCACCTAATGTGATCGGTGATTGTTAGTTTGCTTTGTAAAAACTTTCTGATGTGTTTTTCCAACGCATGCAACAGAAGATAATCCCATAATATCATAGATCGTCAGTCGTTAGTCTGGAGTTTAAACGTTCACATGTGAGACCAGTATTCGTTTCTCAATGACAGGGTGCACTACTGATAAGTCTCATACTAAAGCGAAAAAGCTGTTCATCGCCTAATGGTTTTCAGTGGTGATTTGGCTTAACTTAGTTCGGGATTTCAAACTATGGAAATTCTACACTGATGATATCTTTTATTTTTTTTTCTTATTCTTTGTAACTAGAAATACTACTTATATTTCAACTTTTTTGTTAGTCATGATAAACTGCTCAGTTTCAAATTCGCTTTCTTCACCAACTCTATATTCAGATACATTCCTATTCGATGTAACATGTACGTATATGTTACACTCATCTGTGGGTGTGCTTAAAACTACTACAAGTTCACCTTAGTCGAATAACGAGAACAAAACAATGAACTAGCGTCAAGGTAGGCTACTCTGATCCCTTGACCCAAATGTACTAGCATGAAATCTGGATATAGCGGAGAAAGTGTATTCTACAAACACTCAGAAAATATGATGATCTCAAGCACACAAATCGCGTCTATTTATACACCATAGAGACGTCCATGGGGAAGTCACAAAATGACACAGTAAAATAACGCAGTAACCAATCACAGCAATGGCTTTTCCTGGTGGGAAATGTGATCTCAAGGTCAGTTGATCAGCCCATGAAATAAATCCAAAATAAAGAAATCTATCAAACGAGTTCTGGGGATCTAACATCCCCGAAAGCATAACATAAGGATGTGACGTTTATCCCAAACCAATACATATCCATGTCTATTTGTCCCCTGTTACCACTTAATAGATCTAGCATATTGAATATGCTATGTCAATTCGATTTTGAAACTCACTATTCAACTTATTTAACCATGAAAACTACTTCAGACTGTGAAATATTAGTGGATAGTCCATTGTACACCTCAAAGGTTTAAAACGACTTTTTGAAAAATGTTGATGCTGAGTGATTTAAATTCGAGTCATCGAGTAATATTCATTCTATCAAGTATTGTCATTTATTGATCTTATTTTATTCATGAGCATGAATTAGCTTTTTTAAAACATCCTATTTCGTTTATTTTTCATTGTTCAAATGTGTACAATTCCCATTGTGTTTAGTTAATAATCTTTAATTTCGTAAGAATTTGATGAAATGAAATTGTGAAGCTATAAATATCTTCGGATTATGTTGGAGATTCGTTCTGTGATTGTTCATTTAAACATCATCAGCACAAAATTCAAGTAGAAGTGAAGTGTACGAATTTCTCTACATATGACTCACATAATTACGGGGAAATTTGCATACTTTACTTCTCTCTAAACTTTGTGCTAATGAGATAATGTTGTACAGTGGAAGAACAATGAAAGCGCCACAATCAAAGCATCCAGCCGAGAGAATGAAACTCCATGACAATGATCGACCTGAACTACATATTTTCTCTATTATCTCAAAATCCTTGCGGATTACAACATATTTACTATCTACTTTCATGTATTAGAAAATTTGTTTAGAAAGTCTGTTTATTTGGTTTGTTAGGCTTATAAGTTTCTTAATTTACATTATTTAAACATATTGATTCCTGTTTGATTATTCTTCAAGCGTCTGAAATTCCGATTAAAAACATAGATTATTACTTAAATTTTCGGGATTTAAATTTCAACTCATATATATATTTATTCATGGTAGTAGAAACATGTTCACAGGATATGCTTATCGATTGTTACAAATTACTCTCTACTGAACATCGTTCAAATTGATCAGATCAATAGAATAAAACCAGTAGAGTTTTAGGCAGTTGTTTTAATACTTACTTACTTACTTACGCCTGTTACCCCCAATGGAGCATAGGCCGCCCACCAGTTTTAATAGGTTAAGTTTAATTATAGCCTTAAGGTGAACCAGACAGACAGACAGAAACAACGCAGAACTTCGTACGTAAGTACATCAGTTCAGGTTGCCATACCACGTCAGCACAGAGACGCAACTGTCAGTTCAAATCCAAGAATGATAGCGATAGTAGCAATCGAGAAGATTCGAAAAGTATAATTCAGTGACATAAATTTAGAAGGAGAAAGATAGAGATTATGAGGAATTCAGAAGGTCAGATTTAAAAAGCACACAAAGAAAGGATGCATCTGCGCCATCGCAAACGATTCTGAGCCATGTCGTTCAAGGTCTCTAACCTTTGGTGACTTTGGTCTCGCGGCTTAAGCTGAACCCGAAAGTTTAAAAATTATAGCCAGAATTCATTTAATATTTCAACATGTATATTATTGGCTCTAAAGCGAGCTTTTCATGTTGATTTCGATATTAGCAAGAATTGTCTCTTTAAGCAAATTTCACCTAAAGATAGTGTTTTTTTATGAAATCTGAGTAAAACGTCTTACAATCTTCATGTAATGACCATTATGTTAACGTCTCATTTAGTTAGCATAAAGAGATAAACATGAGGAAAAATTGGACTTTTGAAACAGTCCTAACTGAAGTTATTATTTGTATTGTTGTTGTATAATTATTATACACTTAAATTATTGTGTGCTTATATTCTTCTGCCTGTTTTTATGTTACTGCTAAGATATTCATCTAATGTTCTAAGAGAATTATTTCTAATTTTCAATTAGAGTTGTGGAGATTAGTGTTTTTACACATTGGAAATCATCCATCAATCATTGTTAGACTACTATTGAAAACCTGGAAGCACTGGACGGCCGTTTCGTCCTGGTATGAGACTCATTAGCAGTGCACATCCACGACTCATGTACCTCGCAGGATTTGAACCGCTGACCTTCGGTTTTGGGCGCGAACGCCTAGACCACTGGGCCAGCATCCTATGGCGTCAACGTTATTTGTAAGTCTAGTTCTACTGGTCGATCCCTATTGGTTAATCCCTATTGATCGTCCTAACTATCAGTGTCACTTCAAATGATCTTTCCTACTGGTCATTCTAACTATAAATGTCACGTACTTCAATATTATTTCCTATTCGACCGAAATGTATAAATATGCATCATCTGTAACGCTTCATGACCAGGACCTGGACTCGGAACCGGATCCCCAGACAAGGATTCCTATCCTCTTCTGGACTCAGACCTCATCCTTTCTGGGTGCTTGTAGGAAACACCTTTTACTTTATATCAAGTCTTCTTCTTTTACTCGATGGGGTTTGGGACAATCGGATTGGAGTAGCCTTTCGTGCCACCGGATTCTCGATCTTCACTCTCGTTTTCCGACTAAGGTAAACTCGTAATAGTTCAAGCATAACAAATGACGTGTTGGCGTGCATGCGTAACGAATACGTAAGATGATATTATATACTATACCTTTCCTAAATTATTGTTAATTCACTATCGACTTGACACCACTAGAAACCTGAAAACCCTGGACGTTCTTTCTAGTATGGGACTCATCAGCAGTGTGCATTTACACAGATTGATTAAGCTTGAACATAACACCATTGAATGCCAGCTCAGTAGTGCAAAACTTAAGCGTCCGAGCGCGAGACCAAAGGTTCTCGGTTCGATTCCCGCCTGTGGGGTCGTGGATGTACACTGCTATTGAGTATCATACTAGGATAAAGCAGCCATTCTGTGCTTTCGAATTTCTAATATTAGTCTAACATTGATCAATCCATGCTCTCAATGAAACACTACTAGTATCTTCACATCTGTTTTTCCTGTTCAATGATACGGTACAAAACAAGTCAATCTTATAACAAACCAATTAATTATAGCGAATCATTATTTTATTGAACAATTATATAAAGAATAATTTATACACTTTATTATACGAGGTTTTTTAAGAAATAAACTTTAGACCAGTATGATTGAATGTTCAATACACACAAATATTATACACATATTTATAATATATGCTGATGGAACAATTCCACATTATGAATGAATTAGCATGCAATGCGAGAGAGATAGACAGAGATTTTTGCAACAAGTAAACTATACTGTGTCTCTTTTTAAAAAATTCACGCGAAATCAATAATTTATTGATAATGTTCGATAATCTATACATTTTGTTTGAATCAAATATTAGATTGATTTGTATTTTCTTGTTGATTACGTGAAAACCAAATTAATTTATTTTTCAATGTTTCCAATATATCTTCACTATAATCTGTAAATTCCGAAGGACATTTACTATAAATTTCACTTGGATCTGATGTTTTAAATGACTGAGTAGTTTCATGTGTTTGATCAAAATCCGTGGTGTATTGTTGAATATTTTCCTAAATAAAAATAAAGAAGTGTTTAAAACAGAAAAATATTTTTGTTTTAATTAATGATTTATGATTTATTTTGCAGCACCTCCACATACATTTGACTTTGTATACACGTTTAAATTGGTAGAGCCCTCTTTTGTTTAACTGAGTTAACAGACAAAGTCATTTGTATGGCAATAATTTATCTGTCTTTGATTATTATCACGTTTGTATGAGCAATGTATGATCGAGCACTGTTTACCACCTGCCTACACAAATATTCATTCTAATCGCTCTAATGTTAACCTCTTAAATAATCCGAAGACGCATTCATTTTCTCATGTATTTATATATGTACATTTTAATCCTACTCACTGACTAGCTCACTCACTTGCTCCCTTGCTTATTTTTCGGCACTCACATATTATTTTCCACTTCATATGTCTGCGGTTTGTTATCTATGTGTGTGTGTGTGTGATGTGATAAGAGACGTAATCAACGCTTCGTATTCGTTGGTTGCTCTCTAGTAACAGTTTTCAGGGCAAGCAGTATACGAATTTGATGTTCATCAATTTCCATCCAGTGTGAATTTGTATTTAATGATTAAAATGATTATATTATTTAATAGTCAGATCAATTTACTGAAAATAGGATTATTGATTAGTGTAAATTTAACATTTGAAAAAGTAATATATCAGCACGAAAAACATTTTTCGATTTGAATTTTAAAATGCAACAACTATTCTTCCGATATCATGAATTAGTCATTGTTACAGATCACCATTCGAAACTTGGAAGCTTTGGAGGGTCGTTTTGTCCTGGCATGGGACTCATCAGCAGTGCGCATCCACAACTCCCGCTACTCCCAGGATGCAAACCCGGGACCTTTGGTCTTACGCGCGAACGCTTAACATCTGGACCATTAGACCGGTATCTAACGATGCTAATGTGCAACTGTGATCACTTTTGGGATTTTGTGCGGTTTCACGCATGATTGGTACATGATTTCAGTAGTAAACTATCTATTGTCTTTGCCGTCAGCACCTCTACCTTTGTCTTTCTAACCTTATCTCACTGAATTATATTTCTTGAATAATATCTTCGAACCGTAGTCTTCTTCATTACCATTAATATCTCTACTATCTTTATCACTATGGGATTTGATTTGACATCTTCGTCTCTGTGCTAATGTGGTATGGCAACATGAACTTATGTACATACGTACGTAGTTCTACGTTGCAACTGACTGACTGTCTTTGCACTCTTCTTTGCATCGTACAATGTTGCTAGATGTACATCCTTAGGGTCCTACAATGACAGAAATTAGAGATGGCTCTGAGTCTAAGTGTATTTCTCAACATTAGGATACGAGTTTATCCAGGTAACCTGACTTAAAAGTATGAAAAGCGCGTTTTCGACTCCACTACTTTTTATAATCTAAATTTAATAAGTGTCGCAAACTGTATGAAAATTGGAATGACTGAATATGGTTATGAAAATCAAAGGTATTCAATTATTAGGTATTCAATTTTTCCAAAGATAGATTTGTATCATATGCACCTCGAATATATTAAAACCTTATTTATCCCTTATGTGTACACTCGAATAGCTGGGATTCTCGATAACACTCTCACTTAATTTACTTAGGCTGTTACCCCCCATAGGTCGCATAGGTAGCCGACCTACATTCTCCATTCTACTCTGTCCTGCGGCTTCCTTGACAGTTTTATCCAATTACTGTTCATTCTTTGAAGATTTCTCTCCAATTCTCGAAGTAATGTGTCCTTTGGTCTTCCTCTTTTCCTTTGGTATTGAGGATTCCAAGTGAGGTCGTGCAATGTGCCACAGTTGGGTGCTTTCTGCCATATGTAACCTATCCACCTCCAATGCTTCTTTGTACTCCCTTCCTTCTCTGGATTCTGGCTTGTTCTCTCCCACAGTAGATTTTCGCTGATGGTGTTTAGCCAATGGATCCTTAGTTTCATGAGTAGACAACTTTTAATAAATAGTTGGTCCGCCCCATACAGTCGAACTGTCTTCTTATATTGAAAAATCTAACTTTGACGTTTGTTGATAGTTGTTTTGAATTACAGATGTTGCCCTTGTTTCACTAATCCACGGCTTCATATCCCCATCAGATCGACTGTGGTCATCAACTATGCTGTCCAAAAATGTACATACTTATACATTCTCCAAAGCTTCTCCATCAAGTGTGGTTTTGTTGGGGATTTTAGATCCTCAGAACTCTCTTGATAAATACCTCAATTCGTTGTGATTGGTTGCTGTGCATTTTAGTGTGCTATTTTTGTGACTGTCCCAAGGACGTTTCTATGATGTATAAACAAACGAGACTTGTGTGTTTGATTGCATTTTGCTTGCTGGGTGTTTGTAGAATATACTTTCTACGCTTATCGAGACTTCTGTTTTGCAGTTTGGGATCAAGTTAGCCTGCCTGGACGCTGTTAATTGTCTCGTTCGCGTTTATCGACTAAAGTGAACTCGTAATAGCTTCAAGCGTACCTAGTGACGAACTTAACAGATTTGTTTGATGTATGTTGTGTTGTATTAGAGAATCTAGCTTTTCCATTTGTGTATCTTGAGACCTACTGTTATGAAGGCTGCTGCTACATAACTCATCTACTCTTGCATCTACTGTTGTCTGTGCAATAGAAGAGCTAGATCATCTAAGAAGTCTATATCTTCCAGCTGCATCACACGTAAAGATTCAAAGTAAACTTGTGAATGAAATCAAAACGTTAACTTCAACACTAAGTTCCATCTACTAAACATATCATTTACCAATCAACTTCCCAATCAACTGATTTATAGACACACACAACCATAAGCAATCGCATTGCATTCTCAGCAGTTCTTTACTTTAGAGAAAAAAACTACCTTCAAAAAATTGTCTGTAGAACTGGTTTTCCAGTCAATACTCAATAACAAATGACAAAATCAATAAGAAACAACGCTCACATGTACAATAACATCGGTAGTCGGTTGTTGTTTATCAAATGTATCATTAATTGTAGACGACATGTTTACATTTCTATTGATGAAACCATTTTTAAAACGACTACGATCTAAATTACTCACTGTATTGGCTAAACCAAAATTATCATGATAACGTGCTGCAGTGATACGAATCGGTGGAATTTCACCATTTAAAGCTGCTTGACGTGCTGCACGTAATTGATTTTGTGCTATAGCAAGAATATTCACTTTATTTCCATGTGAATCTTTAAATTGTTTCGGTCGAAGTAAATCTTTACCATCAACTTCTAAAATAATATGACCTGGTGCTAGACTACCTTCAAAACTTGCCGGTGAATCTGTTTCAATACTTTCAATTGTCACAACATCAAAAGCCATATCGGAACGTTTTACATCGATCGGTTTAAAAGCCCCATCACTACGTAATCCAATGTAAGGTTTTGGACCTTTTGGACTATGCATAGGATTCATTGGTTCAATAATTCCATATGAACTTTTCACATCAACTATTTCATTCTTTTGTAGTTTTTGTAAAGTATCCGCTCTTTGTACATCATCTAATGGGAATTTAGTTAAACATAAACGTAAACCAAGTTGATCACTTAAACTTGGCAAATTTGGATCCAGTAGAACTCGATAAATGTCACAATGATGCAATACATCAAACAATGAAGGATATGATTCAACCGTTTCTAGATCTGATGAAGAAGAAGAAGGATGAGTTTTTTTACAACCATGTACTAGTATACTTGTTCCATTGTGTTTCGCTGAATGAGATGAGTGTTTTTTATGCTTTAAATGTGTTGCATTGTTTAAAATTATTGTTTTACCATTTTCCACATTAATCATTTCAATGGAAGATTGACTATTATTCATATGATTAGGCATAGCTTCAAAATTATAAGTAAATAATTTGTGTATTTGTGAAGTTGGATGTTGTTGAAAAACTGTTGAGAAGTTATTATTACGATTGTGATGATGATGATGATGATGGTGATTGTTATCACTATCCTTCTTAGTATTATTATTACTATGATTATGTATAGATGATAGATTCGGCGATAATTCAACATGAGTTTCATATTGTTTTAATCCAACAGAATTTACTGGTAATTCAGTTGATAATGTAAGCATATTTTCTTTAGATATCATTGATACATTCATATCGGAATCATGAAATGGTGTTGGAACACTAAGATGTGATGTGGAACTATAATTTTCTGTGTGTAAATCATTTTGACTATGACATATCATTTGATGTTTATTATAAAGACTAATATCTTCACAACTTTGAGTTGTATTAATTGTTTCTAAAATCGGAGTAGATGAATAATAATAATAATTAATTTCAATTATGATAATTGACAAGTGAATCTATTTAGCAGTCAATCAGTCAATCGTACGTACGTACGTACATAAGTTCAGTTTACCCTATATCATATTAGCACTTCAAATCCCATAGTCGTAGAGGTAGTAGAAGTATTAGCCGTAATCAGAGAGATATGGGTTCGAGGATATTACTCAAGAACTAGAATCTAGTGAAATAAACCTAAAAAGAGAAAGATAAAAGTGATGAGGAATTGAGAAGATCAGAGTTTGAAAGTAAACAATAGTGGATGTACCTGCCCCATTGGAAACAGTTTTGAGCCGTGTCATTCAGGGTCTCTAACCATCGATTACTATCATCTCGCGGGCCGCAACCAGATATTCTACACCTACCAACATGACTCAGTCCACTTGTCAGTGACTTCATCTATTTTTGCCATGTTTCGGTCAGTTCGCCTCTAACTTTCTTCCAACCTATTCATACACCGCAAAACATAGCTCGACGAGGATGTCGGTGGTCAGGAATACGGAGCACATGTACCAATCGCCTCAACTGATGAAGTTTCAATACTTCATCTATTGATCTACTACCCTTACCTAGCACACGTATCCTAACGACTGATATTCTGTAAAATTGCATTACAGATTTTGAAAAGATATTTCTAGATAATAATCAATAATAGAATTGAACAAAGGCGCTGCCATTAACCTAATGATCTCTCTGTTATGGAATTCCTTATTGGTAATTAAATCAAATCGAAAATATCTATCACATCAAATATTGCCCAGCTTTCCACTCACTGGGTTATTGATGCCTAATATTTACATAATTTGTTCAACAATGTAATGTTACTTATACTGACATAAAGTTCAAACAAGCTCAATTAAGCAATCGAACAAATGTCTAAACAATAAATCAATAAAAATATAAACAAAAACGTTTTACCGAAACTATCCATAACTTTCATTCTTCTTGACTCTGATGAACTATTGTTATTTGGTTGATTTAATTTTACATTATTCGATGAGTTCACTTGAGTATAAGAATTTTGTTGCTGGATTCGATCGAAATCAGATTTTTTAGGAGGATTATCATTGAATGATTCATCCTGTTTATGAAAATAAAATAAAAGTTGATTTAATAATGTTTTTCTGTTTAATATTATTTATTAGTAGTAAGATTATATAAAATTCAAAAAATTCACTATTTTAAACATTTAACATTATCTAATTCTGGTTAGCCGAGACAACATCAGCAACAACGAACTGTGGGAGAGAACAAACCAGATTCCAGTGGAGGAGGAAATCAGGAAGAAGCGGTGGAAGTGGATAGGACATACACTACGAAAAGCACCTAACTGCGTCACTAGACAAGCCCTCACATGGAACCCTCATGGCAAAAGGAAAAGAGGAAGGCGGAGGAACACATTACGCCGAGAAATAGAGAAATATATGAGAGGAATGAAGAAACATTGGGTACAACTGGAAATGGAAGCCTAGGACAGAGTTAGTTGGGGAAAACTGGTGGGCGGCCTATGCTCGATTGGGGGTAACAGGCGTAAGTAAGTAAGTAAGTAGTTCTGGTTAGCGTTTTTCAATACAACATAGTTCTACTCTATGGGGTGGAAAATTGTGGAACCACGTAAGCCAACGTCCAAAAGATAAAAGAATTTATTAACACTTATCTACACAAGAAACTGGGGGATGCTTTGGTTAGATACCATCAACAACAATTTACTGTAGGAAGAAGAAACGAGATTGCAGTTGAAGAAGAATTCACTTATAATCACATCTCCATGACGTTAAGAGTTGTCTACACAAAATACTTAGGATTCGTTGGCCAGACACCATCCGTGGGAGAAAAGAAACCAGATTCCAGATGAGAAAGAAACCAGGACGAAGTGCTGAAAGTGGATAGAACAAGCATTGAGGAAATCACTGAAGTGCATCACGAGAAAAGCTCTCACTTGAAACCCTGAAAGAAAAGAGGTAGACCAAGGAATGCATTCCCACTGAGAATTGGAAGCAGACATGAAAAGAACAAACAGCAACTGGTTAGAACTGGAAATGAAGGCGGAGGACAGAGTAGGTTGGAGAATTCTGGCCGGTCGGTTATGTTCGAACGACGGTTTAAATTTACATGAGAGTCTTCATTTAAAAAAACCAAACATGGTTTTTGAATCAACTTTTCATTACTTACTGGTATTTTAGTGATTTTATTGGAGTGAATAATCTCTGATGCCTACAACTCACAACATCACTAGTGATCAAAACAAATATCTCCTAACTTTGTGACAAGTTTACATCTCACGATTTAGGTTTCTAACCTCAGTTAATTTTCAGTATTGAACCATAGTCAACCATTGTTTGATAATGTGTGAATTTTATTTGCCATTTAGTTTCTCTTCAACTGAAAAAAAAAACTCAAAGCACTGATTGACTTTAAACTCATGAAAATAAATTCCAACTTAATACTACTTACATAATCACCATTCATTGTTGTACCGAAATCAGTGTGTGTTTGAACACCGGGTTCATGTTTGTTTTCTTCTGATCTATCTCCTCTTTGATATTTCTTTTGCTGAATATGTGACTTATTTTCACTAATCTGTGTAGCATTTAAAAAGCGTGAAGATATTGGATTAGCACAATAATTTCCATTTTGTTTCTCTGAACACTTCTCTTCTGTATATGAATTATACACTATTGGTTGAGGATTAGAATACTTCCAATCGATACATGAATCAGCTGGCACATCATATTCAATAATTGTATCATTACAACCATTATCGTATGTTGCACCAATATTTACTGAATCTGTAACTTTCTCACGACTTATCGTTTTATCATCCCAATCAGCTGCTGTGAATGTTTGTATAGAATCACTAGATTGAGCACGATCAACATATAATTTCGCTTTATTATACTCATTCGATTGTACTGTACTTGTGGCATCTTTTAAAGAACATTCATTTTCTTTAGTCCAAATACCAGATGAATTGGTATTTTCTTGAAATCTCACTGCACTTGATTGTCGACTTTCACACGTACGACGATTTGCATCAAAAGCCAAAATTGGTGATGCACTCTTTTCTGGTCGACATAGTTTATTCACTTCAGTACTAGCCAATGAATTTGAATGATTTGATTTTGACAATTCAATCGATTGTTTCTCATAAACACAAGGTTGATAAGAATTATAATAACGATGTTGTATTTCAGCATTAGTAGTATTATTAATGTTATTATATCTTGCTTTAGTATTCATTAATTTCGGTGGTAAAGGTGGACTGATTGAAGTGGCTTTCATAGGATGATGTAGTTCCGATGGAGCTAATGACCATTCTGAATTTTTATGATCATTATTGATGGTACAACGATTCATAGAACGTAAATGATCAGAACTTTCTTTATTATTATTATTGAATGGATTGAAAATTTCAAATTTATCTTTACTATCTAAATGATTGCCGTATCTTTGTGGTAATGACTTGGTCGTAACTGGTCGATTTGGTTTTTCATTTGTATAATAACCATTGCCATAGGATGGTGGAGTTGTTTGTGATTCGGATTCAATGAAATCAGTTTTATCAAATAATGGCATTGATTCAGATGAATGATTAATTTGTTCAAGTAGACGACTTTTGGTTAATCCTTTAAAAATACACGGAAATAAATTCAAACGTTGTGTAAGTGTTTGTTTCACTGGTGATGGTGTACGTGATTGCTTATCAGAGAGAGAGAGAGAGAAATAGAAATTAAAAGTTTTCAGTTTGTTTTTTTTTATAATTTTTTTGAATTTGACATATAAAAAATTTCAAAAAATCTACTAACATTTTAAAATTCACAGTGAATAATATTTATTTATAGATTATTAATATTGTAGTGTGTCGACGATTTACTGTGTGTTCTTCTTAATCTGTATGATTAGCTCATCCAGACAATTGTCCTTACAAAGTAGCGTTTGACGGTTAGATAATAAGAAGATGAACTCGTAGTGATGAATACGTTTATTTTTGGACACACCACAAAGCGAATCGGAGAAGTAGAGAGACGTGAATTGGAGAAGGCTAGTGAGCCAACTCCCATGATTACAATGCGAATGAATGGGAGAAGGAAACGAATGGACAGGTGAAACGCGTTGGAGAAGGCTAATGGGCCAATTCCAGGAGATAAAGCATGACTAAGAATATATAGTCAGACAAATATAAGACAGACATGTGACAGGCGAAATAGGCGCACATGAATAAAAGCGACGAATAGTTGACAAGGTCAAATTACAAGTGGGACAAGACACATGAGCTCATACAAACCAGACAATAATAAGAACGAATGGTACATATAATTTGTTGCAATACAAATGGCTTGGTTAAATAAATTAATCGAAAGGGCTTAACCAAATTAAATGTAAGCGGACTGGAATATATGTGGAGGCACTACAATATGAACTGAATAAAATGATAATACTTCAGTAGAGTTGTCTTACATAAAACGTTTTTATCATGAGATAAAGTCATTTGACAAAAACGAATGAAAATGACCGTATTATATAGTAAGTTTATCTAGTTACGCTTTTCTTTACTGGTTCAGAAATCAGATCGCACAAGAAACAATCTTTAGTTGTCAGTGTTAAATTTATCGTCTGGCTCACCAATTTTAATGGCCCAATATCTCAATCATTTATTTATGAATTTTCAAGTATGCTATGAAACGACTCTCCCATTCAGTTTCTGTATATATCATATTTAGGCGAACTAAGTTTTTTCTGCGACAGTGCTAATAAGGAACCAAATACCGATTTGGTTGGATGAGTTTATTTCAAGCAGTCGCTCGTGCCGACAGACGTGAGAGTACAAAGCGTTAAACTAAAGCAAAGCGAAGTGGCAAAGGAGAGTGAGCTAAAACTTCCCGATGTCCATCCCATTAAACATGTTAATAAATAGGTAAGTGACTTCACTGGAATATATATATACATATATAATAACCTGTTTCAGGACATGTATGATGATTAGAAAGGGTCATGATGATAATGAATGACACGTTCATAGTCCCGTAGTCTTCAAAATTTTCTCCAAATAACTTCAATGAGTGAACAGTATAATCTTCGCACAAGGTTATCCCGTTTTTCGTTGATTAACTCGAATAGTACTGAAGGTGTTTTGAAAGAAATTTTGAATATATAAGTATTCGCTTATTCTTGTAATTCAAGGTACTATCATACATTTTTAATTCTTGATTATGTTAATTTTATAAAACAATATCTCCATTTAAAAAAATGTCAAAAAAAAATAATAGTTTCAGTTTATCTTACAAGTGACTATTCAGTAAGTATACAATGTTTACTTTTCAGAAAACAATACCTTACAATTTCATGAAAAACAAAACACAAATATGTATTCAAAGCCACTATAACCATTTGTTGGCTTCCTGGAGCTGTTTTAAACTGCAAATACGAGCATTGTTACAATCATTTTTGTTGGTTAATTTATACTACTTATAAGTACCAAGAATATAACCTCAAAAACATTCAGCATACAACTCTAAATCAAATTAACTTGTGATACATTCTAACGTAATAAGAAAAGGAAAAAAAATTGTGATGAATCAGGTAAAGTAAACCTCACATCTTAGTAGATGGATGACATATTTCAATTCGAGTTATGTATTGGAAACGTCTGTATACATAAATATAGTAGAACATAGACAATTTCTCGTCAAGACATGAAATATTCAATAGAGCAATTCAATAGTTTTTGTTTCTTTCAGTTTCATGACCAGATAAAATTAACTGAAGTGACAGTCCACTCAAATTATACCAATTTCAAGACTTCAATCATATAAGTTATTTAATGTAAAAGCCAAGGAACAGATTACGCAGAGAAATGGAGACAAACATTAGAAGAATGAAACAAAACTGAACTGAACTGGAAAGGGAAGACAAGGACAGAGTTGATTGAAGAATACTGGTCGGCAGGGTAACAGGGGTAAGTAAGTGAGTAAGTAATGATTTGCGGTAATCTATGGGATGCTTTTTCGTTTTATTAAGCAAATGTAATTATGTTCGTAGTGAGTGCTTTGATGTCTAGCTCACAGGGCTCATCCTACTAGCCTTTTGACCTTGTCAGTCACTCGCTCATATCTTCGTTGCTTTCATTCATGTGTATGCACTTCTATCTCGCTTATTACATGTCTGGCTCATTTTAGATGTTTGAAATTTTTACTACTTTTAATAAATATATATCTTTACCATCACTGATATGTTATGTTTGAAATGTACGATCAATGAAGTGTAAACAATAAACAAATTCATGTTTTAAACAATCACTTACTTTATCACGTATTGAACGTCGAAAGTATGGTTTGGTTGAGTTCATCTATTTAAAAAACAAATGAAATGACAACTGATTTTACAGGAAATTATTTGTTTCAAGAGAAAATTAGAATAATCAAAATGAAATTATTATTATTATTATATGTCAGCTCTAATAATGATAGAATAATAGAACTAGTGACAAGGTTGGATATAATTTAACCGTAAAAGATGATGAACTCACATCAATCAACACCTATTCTAATCACCCTGATGGTTTTCATTGATTGGACAATAAATAATATTCCTCTTTTCAATGTATCACATATGATTTACTAACTTATTACATGAAATCAATTTATAAGTGTAGATTGCTCACTGCTCATTGATCACTAAACATAAAAATCTCAATTCTAAAGCTGATTAGTCGAAGCCGAACTATCCGAGCAGTCATTGAGTGAAGCTGGACGACTACCAGCTCGAATTCTGTAATGAGCGCCATTTCGATCATGAATGCCAATATAAATTGCTGATAATCGCTATCAAGTGACCTAGATTCAGTGACTCTGACTATTATGTTATTAACCCGGTATTGGCAAGGGTAATTTTACATTGCTTTTCAGGAGAACCGAGGAGATTGCCCATGTGGTACCATTTCAACGCGAACAGTTAGGCTCAATCCCTTGGTGGAACCACACAGGTGGACTATTTACACTAGTATATACGTAGTGATTACTTCCGATCCATGATTGCGTCAATCAATATGAATCACATGAACAGGCTAATCTGACCCATTCCGCTCACATGACTGTCAACCTCATTATTATTACCAATGATGATATGCAAGACAGAACCTCAATGACAATGGCCCTCAGGAATGTTGCAAAACAATCACCACTATCAATTGAATCTGTCAACCTGCTAACCAAATTTGTAAATGGACTGTTAGCAATACTTGTCAAAGCAATGCCAAGCCATCCACAATGTTTACAGTGAACCCCCTGGTCTCATAGGAAGAAACCTTCAGTTCTATATAGTAGTATAGCATGTGACAATACAGACAGTAAGGAATAGGAGATGCAGCCCAACGTGATGCAAATGGGCTCAAAAACTTATTACATTTTGTCTTATGTCTGGTAATGATTTATTCGCGGTTCCCAAATTTTCATTTTTCGACCAAATGTGACCTGAGTTAGATGTAGTATCTCTGACTCTGACTAACTATTTATAACAACCGTTCATAAGTAAGTCTACTACTACTAAAAATCCTGACTTGTCAGATTACTGACAGACCAAACATAATATTATTTATGCTTCATAGTAGGCTAGAGGTCAGTTGTAAATCTATGATGAATTTACTGAATCTATTCTACTTGAAGCTCATCTAAGGTTACTGCTGCAACGGACAAACGACGAACACTGGGCGTGTTGTCATCAACCACGACATGAATAAATGCTTTGATGAAAGAATTTCAACCAGATGAAATCATCCAAACCTTTGAAACCATGCCTTGTGAGTTTAAGGGTCTTCGTATACTGAAATTACGACGCCATACAGTGAAAGCCAAGATTCTTTAGAAATCACTAGGCTAATACTCTCTATCTGACAGCTAGAGCAATCTAATTCTCTTAGTCATTACATTTCAAACAATAGAACTGTAAAGTGCTAATTAAATTATCAGATTCATTCAAGTTGCTTGAAAGTCTTACTAAATAATTGAGCTTGGAAATAATCCCGAGTAAATGGTCGAATAAATTCGGGCATCGAAAAATTTGTGAGAAATTTATTAACAAGATATGATTTTTTAAATTACAATAAGACTGTTTATTGATATTCATTAGCTAAGATTATCTCTGAATCAAATACAAAACTGTGTAATGTTTTAAATCATAGATTTTATAGACCATGATATATTGGATGAAATTCAGGTAACAGATCGAAAAAGAAACATTATCACTATTGAAATCATGAAATCATAAATGTTAGGCCACCAATAAAAACATGAAATCACTAGACAGCTGTTTCGTGCTAGTATGGGACTCGTCAGCAGTGCACACCTACAATCTCGCAAGCAGGAATCGAACGCATTACTTTAGCACTCGCGTGTGACTAATGAACCGGTATCCAACGGAGTTAGTGTCTCAATTCCGTCAATCCACGTAGACGCGCATTGATGATGGCTATTCAATGCTTCCAGGTTCCTACTGGGGATCTAACATCGACTGGTTAATGATTTCAATAAAACTCCAGAATCTACACAACCCTATTCTTATAATTACCATTATTGTTAAAAATAACTTACCCAAGTTGAACGACCTTTACACCTAACTAAAGCATCTTCTTTCTTACGTAAAACTAATAAACCAGATGATTGATTACTTTGAACAATTAATAAAGGATAATCTTTAGGACGTAGTATTCTACCTGTAAAAATAATGCAACAACAAATTACTAAAACAAAAATTAATATGTGACTTGAATTATTACTTTAAGGATTTTTATTTAAAATAACACTCATATTTATGTAAAATAAATATTCTTAAATAATATGTGGGGAAGCATGGGTTGCAGCTGGACGATTTGGACTGTACAGATGATCTGAATGTTCTATCACACACACAACAAGAACAAATGCGAGCGAAGACAAACTGTGTAACAGCAGCTTAAACAGCAGAAGGTCTCGAACATACAGAAGAGGAAAAGCAGGATTCTCCGATACAACACAACATGCACCAACCAAATTACAATTGACCGAGAAGCTTTGGAAGATGTAAATGCCTCTGGGCAGCATCATTGATGAGTACGGTTGATCTGGTGCAGATGTGAAGGCGTGGATTAACAAAGCAAGGACAGCATTTCTACAACTGAAGAGCATTCGCAACTCCAGACAACCATCAACCAACAACAAAGTCACAATTTTCAATACAGATGTGAAAACAGTCCTACTGAATGAGGTGGAAACGTGGAGAACTATGAATGCCATCATCCGGAAAATACCAGCGTGACATTGGATTTCCTCTTCATATTTGAACAAAATGTCCCAGTCCCTTTACGAAGAAATAATGTCCCCACAATGCTACTTTACATTGCTATAGTCTTGTGACAATTACCCTCCGGAAACAAGTTATAAACGATAGCATTTTAATTAATCTGACCTTATATCGCCAGTTTTGACACACCGGATTGTTCTACACATCAACCTAATTATACTTGAAAACTGATATACATTCCTTATTTTAATGTCCTGAATATGGTGATATGTTTATTTCTAAATTAAAATATCGTCAGTGATTTCAAACGTCATCATTGTCGGTGCTAACTAAATTCATCTAATTGAATTACAAAACAAACATTCAGTTTCAATTCTTTGATGTGACAGATGATTTTGATGAGTAGAACTCAGTGAACGTTTGAATATCATTGCTTACAGTGTCTTTAGAATGTTATACTGTTACTCAGTAATTCAACACTTGATTATAGAAATCGTGAAGTGATCAATGTTAGACCACTATTAAAAGTCTGAAAGCACTGGAGGGTCGTTTCATCTTTGTCTGGGATCCATCAGCAGTACGCATCCAAGACTTCTACTTCTCACAGGATTCGAACTCAGGACTTTTGAGCTTACGCGTGAACGCCTAACATCTAGACCACTGAGCTGACATGCAACGATAATAATTTCTAACTTTCATCAATCCAAGATATTCTATAACTTCACCCATTGTTATTGGCGAGTAACTGTCTACACCCGACAGGGTTGAACTCTACTGCTAGCGACTTCTCACTAAAAATATGAGAATTTCTTCAGGAAGCTAGTCTTTTGTAAGCCCATTTTATGACAACAATCTTCAAAACTTTATAACGAACGCTTGAATGAATCGATTATTTTCTAAATGAAGGGTTATAAATATACAATTTACAAAATAGAACCTCACCTTCTTCATTAATACCCTCTTCTACAAGACAATAATCAGTTACTGGATCATTGGAACAAGTGACAGTCAATATCAGATCGATTAATTCTTCACTGCATGTTGTTTTTGCTATATGAAATTGTCTAATTGAAGCCTTGAATAATGAACAAAAAAGATAAATTACAAACATAATGAAAATTTGAAAATTTAAACAGTTATGAAAATTTCGATAATTATTATGTTCGAATTTCGAGTAAACAAGGAATTTTCATGATAGGATTGTAGAGATTATTTAGTTAATTTTAAAAATGATATATCGATTAATGTTAGGCCACTATTAGAAACATGGAAGTATTGGACAACTGTTTCGTTCTAGTATGGAACTCAACAACAAGGAGCATCTACGACAGGGGATGAGGTTGTGCAAGACCGTGGATTGATCAAAGTTAAATGTCAACACAGTTGGGTGCCGACTAAGTGGTTTAGAGGTTAAGCATGCGCATGCGACTCCGAAGGTTCTGGATTCGATTAGTGCCTTAGAGGATCATGGACGCAGACTGCTGCTGATGAGTCCCATACTAGGATCAAAAGGCCGTCTATCACTCCCAGGTTTCCAAACGTCACCTAACGATGATCGATTCACAATTTCAGAAGAAGAACCGATTATACTTTATTTTCTAACAGATATTTTTTTGTTAGAATTGATTCTATGATCAACATTCTAATTATCACACCCCCTATACTAAATTATATTTTATGTTAATATAAACATGCGGAAGTGTGTAATTCAAAGTAATCACTGACATTTTTTTTAACTTTCATGTTTCGAAAACATATTCTCCAATCATTGAACTGCTAAGTCGTTGATGTTATAATTTTCATAAATATGATACTATGCATTAACAGTTGTTCATGATAAATGTGCAGAATTAAAAAGCGTAATACAATCTATTACATTTCACTTTTTAGTAATGTAACAAACAGCTAAAAGGATGACGTGGTCAATAACCTATATTCTGTACTCAAAAATGTAGGTCGTTTTTCTTTTCATTTCTTGAATGTGTGTTACAGATTTGAGTGTGATTTCCGTCAGAAATTTCTCCTCAAGCTCTAATGTTTAGATGATTTGTATCTTTCATCTTACACTGTGGATACATTCGTGAAAAGTAGTCGAGGAAAATTCTAGTAGCTTGAATTTGAATTTCCTAAAAATACTATCATCATTCAGTGAAATCAAGGGTGGTTAAATTCTCTAGGTACGACATAATAAAAGGTTGAAAATGTCACAGTTAAATTCATTCCAGTAAGATGAATCTTTACTAAATATTAAAAATACTATTTATTAAAGGTTGAAAAAGTGGATTTCTAGACGACTGTGTCGTCCTCAACACAGCACATCCACAACCCCCGCTACACGCAGGATTTGAACCGAGAACCTACGGTCTAGCGTGCAAACGCCTAACCATAATAGATCAGTGAAAACCTCATGTATATAATAGGAATTCATGAAATTCTAATTACATTACTATCTAAAAATTGTCTTAAACATGACCAATGAGATGGGATAGATTTCTGAATGTTGTATATCGTCAACTGTTTTCTTGTGCCAAATCTTCATGTATGCTTATATTTGTTCTAGTAACATAATTTCATCATAGTTTACATCAAGTAAACATTCTTTTCCGCGAACCAACACGTTTCGAATTGAAAATCATAAGAAAATTCAAAAATTAAATGAAACACAACTAATTTTTAAACTTTATATGCACTTGATCTTTGTTCAGGTCGACCTATCTTTGCAGTTTTTTCTATGGAATATGGTTACTAACCCCAAGCCTGATTGTCATTCTTTGTCCGATATTAAGAATGGACGTCACCTTAGAAGGGTGAAAGATAAAGGTCTTGACTTCGGGAAAATATTTGAGCGCATGAAGCGAACAGCTTTCGGAACTTTCTTTTTTTGGGAAGTTAGATCCCCGGAAGTCGCCTGATAAATGTCTTAATTTTGGATTTTATTCATGGGCTCATCAGTTGACCTTGAGGTCGCTTTTCCCTTCAGGAAATCCTTGGCTGTGATTGGTCGATGTGTTGCTTTAGTGTGCTGTTTCTGTGACTCTCCCAAGTTCGTTTCTATGATGTGTGCTTGAGATCATTGTACTTTCTGGGTGTGCGTAGAATACACTTTCTACGCTAAGACTCTTTCTTCCGTTAGTTGAGGCAACGGATCAGAATAGCCTATCGTGTCTCTGAGTCATTGTCTCGTTCTCGTCTATCGACTAAGGTGAACTCGTAATAGTTTCAAACATCTCTAGTGACGAGTGTAACAATTTTACAGTGTCGTGTATCTGAGGATATTGTCTATTTTTACAAAGAACTAAACTGCAAAGTTGTGCATGAAGAGTGGATCACAGGCTTTTTTCAAGTGAAGACGTGTGTCAAATAGGACCGTTTTATCTCGCCCTTTCTCGGTCCTTGGTAGTTGAATGGATTACAAAGACCTCAACAACTCAGGGAAATCATGGAATATAATGGACAGCCACTGTGCAGCTGGACGATTTGGATTGTTCAGGTGGTCCAGCTCTTCTATCACACGCATGGAAACAAATACAGGTGAAGACAGTCAGTGGAGTAGGTCTCACCATCCCCTTGAAAAAGAGCAAGATCCTCCGATACAACACAACATGTACCAACCAAATCACACTTGATCAAGAAGCAGTAGAAGACGTAGAAACTTTCTGCATATCTGGAAAGCACCATTCATATTAAGAGGACCTGACTGATGAAGATGTGAAGATAAAGATTAGCAAAGCGCTGATATTATTTCTATTATATACATTGGAAACTTGAAGAACTACAAAAAACATCACCCCAAAGATATAGGTGTTCATTAACAGTTGTCTACCCATGATACGTCGGATTCCATGACCAGATACTAATCAGAAACAAGCTACTGTGGGAAGGAACAAACCAGCTTCCAGCTGAACGTTGGATGAGAACGTTGTAGGTGAATAGGAAACATATTATGGAAAGCACCCAACAAGCAATCTTCAAGATGAGAGGGAATGCAGTAGACCAAAGAACACATTGTACCAAGAATTAGAGATAGACATTAAAAAAGAAAGAATAGTACTTGGGAACAACTGGAAAGGAGATGTAAGGACAGAGTAGGTTCAGATTAATGATCGATCATCCTTCAAATAACGTTTAGAAAAAGAGATAAGCTAATAATAAGTAAATACTAATCATAAACAACGTACAAATTTTTTTTGTACCACTTAATAACTTACTGGATTCGAAAAGCAACTATCATAGATTTTTAAAACACCACCTGTTTGCATATGTAGCGTTAATCTAATAAAAATGAAGTAAAAAATATATATATCAAATCAAAAATATTCATCATGATAAATGATTGGAATTTGAAAACATTTATCAATAAATTATTTTTAATAACTTTGAAAAAATTTGCATAAACAAATGTATGATCCATTTTTTTGAAGGTTTTTATTTGTGAAAATCCATCCATGTATATATTTGTAATTTGCTCTTATTGATTCCTTCAGTTGTACATTTTGTTAATCTGTTCGATTCCATTTCGGAGATGATAATATTTGTATTTTATTATAGTTTCTATTTCTTTTGCCTTCACTGAGTTTTTACGTTTCCTTTCTGAACTGTATTTATATTGTTTAAGCTGATACTTAGTCATGGCGACAGCCATATTGATTTGTTCCTCTTTCGATTGTGTTGTTTGCTCGCTTGGACTGGAATTGTGCATTTTGAATGTGAATTGAAGCACTCTTCAAGAATAGGAAACACTCTGTGTTATAAAGCAACCAAATATTATCTTTTGAACGAATCTGATCTATCTAAGAGGGATAGAATATCATTTATTTGTTGCTGTTGATTTGAATAATTGAACAATTGTTGGTGGAATAACTAAGTGGTGATATTTGTTTAGGTAATGATGTGCATTTATATTTATGATGAATATTAGAACCGTCATTCACCCAATCCGTTTGTTTTGGTTTCAGCCGGGTAATAGTGCTTATCTAAACTACCTAAACAGTTATTCCTCAGTCCAAACCTTAGTTTGGATCCTACAACAAATGTTTGAAACTGCAGCTGTTCAGTCTCTTTGGCATATTTGTATCTTGTGCCCATCGCCTCGATATCGCTTTCATGTAAAAAATACTATTATCAGAGGTCGATAGTAGCTAGCAGTTGAATCGAGGAGGCGTGTTTCATCCTACCCGGTACTCGTCATCTGTCTGTACTTGCATCTTCTAGTTGATGTTCGTTCTGTGACTCGAACCCAGTACCTTACTCTTCAGACACCATTTGAAATGCTGGTGCATTCGGTAGACAAGATGTGAACAGAACAAAACGCCTGTCCTGAATTCCACTGACAGCCATTAACGAAATCGGATAAAAATGAAAATTCATTTCATCAGAAATTGTATTTGTTAAAAATTAAAATGAATTTATTATTTCTCAGTAAGCGGAAAATTTCAAATGGTGTTGTTTATCGCCTTAAATGTAAGCGGTTTTATCAAAACATCAAAACGTGCATTCATTCACTTAGATTATCTATTAACTGTCTGACGGAGTGAGTTGAAAAATAAAACAATCAACTAAGCGGTAAAATGTTAGGAATTTTAATTTTCAACTCAATGGAATGTCATTAATATATCTTTTTTTTTTAAAATTATTCACAATTTATCGATTGTTTAATTTATTTAAAATTGCCAAATTTAAACATTGGTAATAATGATTACCATTTTAACTGTTACTATTCATGTTTTCTGCAAGATAGGTTTTCAAATCAATGTCTTATTTCAAAATAAGATATAAAAAGCCGGATATCTATATTGAACGATTTAGCATAGTTTCGTTAAACAAAACAAGTTGAAGTGTCACCAAATAAACCAGTAGGTCTTAATGGATTGTTTGATAGGTGCAAATCTGACTTATAGCAGAATTGATGAAGAACATGTTCATTGGATAATATTTGTCACTTATATGCGTCATCAGTTAGTTCGCTTCAAGTTTTGTTTCCTTGTCTTAAACTTAGAATGGAATTATTCACCAAAATCATGTCATTTTACAACACTTCCAACCGTGCAGAAAAGCAGTCACTCAAAAATGAGTTCATAGGGTTTATAGAAATGTATTTTTGTAGTCAATTCACAATCAACAGATAAATGGACTCAGATACAATTCGCACCAAACGTCAGTTTTGTTACGCTCGTCTCTAGGTATGCTTAGACTATAAGGAGTTCACCCTAGACGAATAACGAAAACAAACAATGAACCGGCGTCCAGGTAGGCTACTCTGATCCCTTGACCAAATTGAATCAACAAGAAGTCTTGATATAGTGTAGAAATTGTATTCTACAAACACCCAGCCAGCACACGATGAATCCAAGCACTCAAACTGCGTTTATTTATACTCCTTAGAGATGTCCTTGAAACAGTCACAAAGACAGCACACTAAAATTTACACAGTAACCAATCACAGGAAGGGTCTCTCCTGGTGGGAAATATGATCTCAAGGTGAAATGATCGGTCCATGAAATAAATCCAAAATAAAGATATTTATCGAGCAAGTTCTGGGGATCTAACATCCCCAACAAATTTGTTAACTGAACAAAACGTTGCAGGAGAATTCAAAAGTACTTGGAGTTAACAAAGCCCACTAAACCAACCAGTCATAAATAAGGTTAACAAAATATGATTTTAATTAAACCCAAAAATATTTCAACTTGTTTCTTTTTTAATATTTAATCTTGGGTTTAATTTATATCTATTTATTTATTTGCTCTGAAGAAGCAATTTGCATTAAATCACGAAACATCAAAATTATTAATATCTACTCATTGGAATATCATCAAAAAGTTGGAATTATTTTAATCATTAAATAACTTTCCACTTGATGTTCAATTCATCCGAAACTATCAAGTCCAACTTTGGTAGTGATACCTACAAATTGTTAATGTTGGGATGATTAACATGAAGTATTCACTTGATTAAGTTTTAATATAAAGTGAAATAGTCAAATTAACGATTAGAATACAATCATAAACATTGATAGCAAAAGGTATAATAGAGACAGGGCATACGACTGATATCAAGTCAATTTTTTAAAACATTGTATAGAAATGTTCAAGGACGAATTGCGAAGTTTATAGAAGCCTTGGCTATTCGTTAATTTATTCAAATCATAAATCGATCAATTTTAGACCACTATTAGAAACCTGGAAGCACTGGATGGCCGTTTCGTCCTGGTATGCGACTTATCAGTGGTGCGTATCCACGACTCCTGAAACCAGTACGATTGGAACCAAGGATCCTAAGTAGTTTATTGAGAATCCACTTATGTATGCAGAAACTATTCGTTATAATCTTGAATTTACTATGATAATCTTTAAGCCATTTTATGGAATAGGGTGATGTAACAATTTCCTATTCTTTCCATAGTATGTTAATTTCCCTCTCTCTCTCTCTCTCTCTTCATTTACAATTATCACTTTCTGCTTATTTGAACTTTTATTAGTTTTCGTATAAAAAGCTTTGACAAATATGTGTGACCAGATGGTTTGAAATGTATATCACATTTTTCAGATCATCGACGTCTTCTTAGCGTTCAATCAAAAATGGTTAATGTGAAGGTGAGGGTGATGATAATATAAGTACAAATCAGAGATTTGGCATTCACATGCAAGACTGAAGGTCCTGGTTTCGAATCCTGTGAGTAGCAGGAGTCGTAGATGCATACTGTCGATGAGTCCCAAACCAGGACGAAAAGGCCCGTTCACTGCTTCCAGGTTTCTAATGGTGGTCTAACGATGATTGATTCATGATTTTAGACTAAATAATTCAATCTTGTTATAGATTTAGTGAACAAACAAAATACTGTTAGCATTATTAATAAAAACGACTTGAAGCACATCAAGTAGTGTGATTTCATCAAACGATACTGTAAAATAATAAGAATAAAAACTGTTCATAATATAAGAAATTATATTTGTTTTGTTATTTTTTGCAAAAAAAAAGATTATTTACCTGTTATCTTTGGTTAAATCTAATGTTCTAGATAGAATTGCATCACTGTACAAGGTGATATCAATTTCTACAATAAAAATCAATAAAACAGTACAACAATTGAACATAGTTTATCTATGGTGAATTATTTTTAATGATATTTTTGTAAATTCACATTTGGTTTTTTTATTTCACAATAACTTTCTCTGGTTAGTAAGGTGTGTACATTTTCTTGAAAAACTAATGATATAAGGCGAAAAATCAACGTCAATAAATAATTTCAAATGTGGTAATATCTACTTGTATAGAACAAATAAGTAGTATAATTCTATAAAATAAATAATTTCAAGTTTTGTATTGTTTCATGTTACATTTTAAAAATGAAACCTTATAATTGATTGATAACTGAATAGTGATCGATATCATGATTCAATATGCACTTTGGCATTATGTATAGATAGTTATTACACTCTCATTAGAAAAGTGGAAGCATTGGATGAACGTTCCGTCGTAGTATGGGACTTATCAAAAGTGCACATCCGCAACTCCCGCTACTTGCAGGATTCGAACTCAGGACTTTCAGTTCTGCGCGCAAACGCTTAAGCTCTGGACAGTGTGTACTGTTAAACAATCAAGTATACAATTCTCCATTCAAACATGCATTATCAGATGAAGATAGAAGGTAAAGTTGCTTACCCTTACCCTTTCCCTTTCTCCTGGTGATCGAATGGATTATGAAGACGTTAATATCTGGAGGAAACACAGGATACGATTGACAGCCAGTATGCGGCTGTACGAACTGTCAACAAACACTAAAATCAGAATGTTAAATACCACTGTCCAGTTCTACTCAATGGGGCGGAAACTTGAAGAACTACCAAGGCCACAAAATTTATTAACAATTGTCTAGCTAGATACTGATGATCCGATAACCAGACACTACCAACAACAGTCGACTGTGGGAGAGAACAAACCGGATTCCATTCAAGGAGGAAATCAGGAAGGAGCGGTGGAAGTGGATAGGACACATTGTGGAAAGCACCCAAATGTATCACAACACAAGCCCTCACTTGCGACCCACAAGGTCAAAGAAAAAGAGGAAGATCAAAGAACAAATTGGACTGAGAATTGCAGACAGACATGAGAAGAATGAAGAAAAATTGGACAGAACTGGAAAAGGAAGCACAGGACAGAGTAGATTGGAGAATACTGGTCGGTGGCCTATTTTCAATTGGGGGTAACAAGCATAAATAATAGAAGAAGTCAAGTACAATCTTCATCGACTATAGTATCTTAGATATACATTAAGTATGCTTAGTTATCACCTAAGATGAAATACAGTGAAGGCCAAGAGCCACTGCAAGCTAGACGTAGTCTCATCCCAAGAAATCATTTTTACATGAATTATAATCTTTGTCATAGATCATTTTATCAAAGTTGACGCAATAATCATGACTAGCCATATCAGACATGGATCAGTATCGGAACCAGTAGTTGAGATACCACAATACTTGATCAGTATTCTTACACAACCACCTTATTTTCACTTATTCTATCTGAACTGAATTCTCATTGTTTAGTCAAACCTTGTATTTTATTCTTCTTGCTATAATACCAACTTTCGTGTTCAGCATCTCGACAATTTCAATTCATTTCTTTATATAATTTATTTCAAATATTTACGTCACTTTTTTTTAAGAAAATTTATGTCATTTGTATTTATTACTTAAAAAAATTAATAATTCTCATTCTGATTGGGATTCCCTTTCATATTTATCAATGAAATATTTCTTTTCGTAATTCTTAATCAATTTTTTTTTATCTCACTATGAATATTCATGTGAGCATCAATTCATTTTATTATATCAAACATCATCACTAGATTCGGAATTGAGCACCTCCTATCTGATTGACTGTCTATCTGTTTATCTGTCTATCTGTCTGTCTGTCTGTTTATCATCTAGTTAGTTAGTTTGATTATCTATCAGTTTTATTGCTTAAATCACTTGTGTTTTCTTATGATTATCACTATTATTATCAATAAATCTGTTTAACTAGAAAAAAAATACCTCACAGTGCTACGTTGGGTGAAAAAATGCCTTTTACTATTATTATTATTATTATTATTATCTCTTCTTTCTTTCTAAAATTCTTCTGTCAAACAAACTTACACTTCATACATTTGTCATGTTAATAATAATACTATTATTATTAATAATAATTTATCTATTTATATGCATACTTTTCTATTATGCTGACAATTAAAACAAAACAATGTTGTTAAGAATCTATAGAAAATAGCAAAACAAAAAAAAAAAAATAACGAAGCAAACTTAAACAAATCTGAGTTAAACTATGAATGAATAAATGATTCATTATTGTTTGTTTTGTTATGATGAATTGTGTTGTGTTTTTATGTTTTAAATTTCAAATAAATAATAAAGAAAAAACAGGTTTAATTTATTTAACTATTTATTGATCAAAAGGATTCGCATTACAAAAAAACACTGAACTATTTGAGAAGTAAAAACTGGTATTTGTCACATAGTAAATTATTGAACATTTAACAGTAAATTATTGAACATTTACTTTAATCTGTTCAATAATAATTATAAAATGTAGTTAAGTGATTTGATTTGATTTCAGTTTGTCAGTAGAAATATTAGAAAAAAAATTAGAATGATACATTTTCAAACAGATTGGAAATTTTTATTCAATCATTTCTTGTTACTCATTTAGCTTGATTGTAAAGTGCTGAAACCCCTAAATAATTGACAATTGAATACTTATCACTCAATTCATTTCAAATGGATGACATTGAAATGGAAGAAATTTTAGAATATAATAAACTAATTTTGTATTATTATTTATGATACTTTAGATTGTTAAGAAATTTTTTTTTGTAATAAACGAAATTATTATTTGACATTCATTAAGTGATACGATTATTTCGCATTGTTCAAGGCTCAATTACTTACTTCTAATTGGTTTTTTATTCATCTACAGTTGAACACAGTTTTATTTAAGTGTAGTATTTTAGATTGTCCAACGTGATAGCAAACTTTGTTGGAAGTAGAATGATCGAAGCGAGTCAGCAAAAGATATCAATCTGTACCAAAGCCAGTGAAGTCTTCGCTGAGTTCTTCCTAACTTTGCTTAACCAATGAGTAGCAAATGATATCAAATCTAATTTTTTGATTTCAGATTTCATTGATATTGATCATAAACTATTTTAGTACCTTGTTAATTTCCTTTTTTAAATAAATAAGCTTTGTATTTTCAGTAATCAATTAATTTGAACACTGCTAATTAATCGTAGCCGGTCAATAGATAAATTCATCTATCGTCAACATAAAATTGTATCGGTAATATTTCTCAATGAAAACATTTTTATTTTAAATATTGTTATACTCAGAGTTACAACAAATGTAAGAGAAGACGACCAGTGTAGCAGCAGTCTATGCAGCAGCAGGTCTCAACATGCATAAAGGAAAAAGCGAAATTCTCCGATGCAACACAACATGCACCAACCAAATCCCTCTTGATGGAGATGCCTTCGAGGAGGTTAACACCTTTAAATATCTTGGCAGCATCATCGATGAGAAAGGTGGATCCGATGCAGATATGAGGGCGCGGATTGGCAAAGCAAATGTTGCATTTCTACAGTTGAAAAATATCAGCCACTCCAAACAAATATCAAACAACACCAAAATCAGGATTTTCAATACAAATGTCAAGACAGTTCTACTGTATGGAGCGGAAACATGGAGAACTACCAAAGCCATCGTCCAGAAGATACAAGTGTTTATTAACACTTGTCTACGCAAAATAATTCGGATTCATTGGCCAGACACTATCAGCAACAACGTACTGTGGGAGAGAACAAACCAGATTCTAGTGGAGGAGGAAATCAGGAAGTAGTGGTGGAAGTGGATAGGACACACACTACGAAAGCACCTGACTGTGTCACAAGACAAGCCTTCACATGGAACTCTCAAGGCAAAAGGAAATGAGGAATGCCAAGGAACACATTACGCCGAGAAATAGCGAAAGATATGAGAGGAATGAACAAACATTGGACAGAATTGGAGAGGGAAGCCCAGGACAGAGTTGGTTGGAGAAAACTGGTGGGCGGCCTATGCTCCATTGGGGGTAACAGGCGTAAGTAGGTAAGTAAGTATACTCAGACTTAATAGAAATAAATGAACTTTATACGCATTAACTAACATACATCATCAATAGAGACTATGCTTTATAAGATGACAATGATTGATATCCGACACAAACTAAGATCAATGTATACCTCATAAATAAATCTGATTACATAACAATCTTTATTCCACTTTTCTAATTTTTTACAATCAACGAATAGTCAGGTTATGGAAAATTAAAATTTTCATTATTTAAATAGTCAACAAAATTCTTATACAATACCAAATTGTTTACATAAGCGAATGAGTTTAATTTTAACAACACGAAAATAAATCTAATTTTCAAACGAACCTAATATATTTCTAAAATTCAAATTTCAACACTGATCACTATCATTCACGCAGTGACACACAATGTACTGACTGATCAGGCAAAAATGCAAAAACTACTCACCTTTTGTAATTTGATTTAATGACCAAATATTTGAAGCTTGCGCACTCGATTCCATTGTTTCATATAAATTAGTAAGAAAAGCATGTTGTTTAGGTTTCAAATGTTTATTACTAATACCATTGCTATTAGTAGTAGTAGTATTAGTAGTATGATTTTCATTGTTCATTTGACGTCTATAAGTTAGATAGAATAAATTTGGATCTTTTAAATTCAAATGATTTCTAGCTAAAATTTGTTTAATCACATCTTTCACTGTATCTTTATATGATATTGTATAGACTTGTGTCATTTCAGTGCCTTGAGCTAAATCTGTATAGATAAGTATCTGTAATTGAGAGAGAGAGAGAGATAAAACAATGAAAGTTTTAATTGATATGTATATATAATTTCCCTATTTATATTTGTCAGTAGGTATTTTTTATAATTATTAAGTAGTATATGATTTTTAAACGAAATTTTATAAATTGATATTCTGTAAAAAAATTATTTTATGAAACATCATGTTCAAAACAGTGCAATATTTTAGTCTGATGGTTTGTATCTTTGAATATGAAGTAGTAGGAACATGTGTTCATTTTAGATAACTATCTTTATCGTGAAAAACTTTGAAATCAACAAAATCTCAACGGGAAAATGTCGATCGTAGTTAATTTTTGTTTTGTTCGAGTGACATCTGTATTGTTCCGATGAATATTTCTCTGATGTAATGAACAAAGGCGTCAACGCTAGATGGACTAATAAAGTATTCAGAAAAGATACGGCTTATTCATAAAATATGTATACCTACTTTCTAGACTTCCATTTGCAAAACAATCATATGTCTTCTGGTTTTTAAAATACCTAGATGACGTTTGTGTATTACGATCAAAAACATTCTTCTCTTCGGGAACCATATTGCTGGTATTATCCACCACGTTGGTACTATGAGATATATACACAGAAGTATTTACAATTCTTCTAGATAATTTTGACAAAGTTGCCCGTAATTTAGATATTAGAACACCAAAATACATTGAAAACTTGCATATCTATAGCAGGAGATTAATAGCTGTTGCAAACACATTTATAACGATTGAATGATTTGCTGAATAACTGGAATCAGTAGCTTATTGGATAATAAACTACATATTTGAAACGAGTGTCAATGTTAAGATCTTCAATGCATTCTAAGCATGCTTATTCGATCACTCATATATTATTGAAAATACTTGTTGTTTGAATCATCAAAATTTATAGATTATTATAATGTTACTAATCATTCTGAATAACAACCAAATCACATTTGATGAAAAAGCTCTGGAAGATGTGGAAACCTTTACATCTCTGAGCAGCATCAGTGATAAGCAAAAGGATCTGACTTATGCAGGTGTAAAGGCAAGAGCAGCGTTTTTAGAACTGAACAACATCTCCAACTCAATACAACTATCAAGAAAAAGCAGAGTCACAATTTTCAATACAAATGTCAACACAGTTCTTCTTTATGAAACTTGAAGAACCACAAACGCCATCATCCACAAGATAGATGTAATGGTTAACAGTTTTCTACACAAGCTACTGACTATCTGTTGACCAGACACCATCAGTAACAACCTACTGTGGAAGAGAATAAACCAACACCCAGCTGAGTCTGAAATTAGGAAAAAACGCTGAAGGTGATTAAAACATACAATGATGAAATCACCCAACTACGTCACAAGACAAGCCTTCACTTGGAATCCTGAAGGCCAAAGGAGCAGAGGAAGACCAAAAACTGCATTAAGCCAAGAACTGAAAGCAGACCTAAAAGAATGAACAGCGATTGGATAGAATTGGAAAAGAAGGCGCAGGACAGAGTAGGTTGTAGAATGCTGGTCGCAGGCTTATGCTGAATGAGAGGTAACATGCGTAAGTAAGTAAGTAATTCAGTTTGAATGCAGCTTCAACTGGCTGCCATAATTGGGCCTAATACACTTTATACTATATTAATAGCTTTTAAACTTTCTGAAGTCTGCTGAAGCCTTTGCTATCAGGTTTTTGCAACCAGATTTACATGTTCAGAAATAGATGGTTTCTTAATCTTCCTTTGCCTTGATGATACATATACTTAAATTACATCACAAACATACTTCTAACTCTTTAGTTCGACTAATTACGTCATAATGTTTTTAAACTTGACTGTACTCTGGAATAGTAATCTTAATTTAATTGAGGTTTACTCATTTTATTTTTATCGATTATCAGTGTTTATTCATCATTACGTAACCACCTGTTTCTAGCCGTTCAGACTCTTTCACTATGAATTTCGTAAAATATTCTTTTGCGAAGGGTATATACTTATTCAGTTTATTAAAATAATTTACAGCTTCGCAGTACTATACTGATGTACGATGATAATAACTTCCAACGTAACTCTTTGTAAGTAGCTGACTAAGATCATAAGAAACGAAATAAATTCATACTGTTCTGATGAAATCTTTACATCAGTTGTACTAAATTACAGTGATTTCTCTGTTTTACTTATTTATAAGTCTATGTTGACATAAGAACATAATCTGCGCGAAGATCGATTTGTTTGACCTAAGACATAACACACAGTGAATCGGAAGACAATATTGGGAGAAAGAAATCATCTAATTACAATCAGTCAAGAGGTAGATATTGAAATTCCTGTGTATGCAGGCAGAAATCTTGTAAACATTTTTGCGTATCAAGTACTTTGAAATTATTGAAGTCCAATAGTCTTTTATAGATCTTAGCCTATAAATTATATTCTAGTATAATGGATCAAGGAAACTGGTGCAATTTATAGTTTTAATTCAGTCTCTAGTATAAAACATTAAAAATATTAGTTCACAAACTACTATCTTTACTGATCATTTACTATAATTCAACTGATATCAGTTCAGAGTAATGGAGGTCTTTAGATTGAAACCCTTGTAAACAGAAATTTCAAAGAAACGCTATCTACTTTTTCAGTTTGAATATAAATTTTTTGTCATCTAAATGTAACCTAAATTTGTGGAAAAAATGTTTCATTTATGAAATTTGATCTTGTCGTTTGGATTTAGTATTAATGACAAGTACAATAACTTCGGACGACACAATTATACAAATTAACCATCTATTGTTAAGAGTAATTTTACATTGGTTTACAGGAGAATCAAGGAGACTGTCCCCTAGTTAACATTTCAACGTGAACAGTTCGCCTCAATTCCGTGGTGCAACCACACAGGTATCTGACACTCTGCAGGACTATTCGGACTACAGCTCACTGCATAAAAACCATTCATGCTTTATTTTCATATGATTACTAAAGCACTGTTATTCATTCTGATGATTACTTGAATAAATTATATTTTGTCAGTATATTAACTTTGCGCAAACCACTGAACTTCAGTTGACATCAAGAACAGACTTTAATCAGATGAGCATTAAAAGCTAAATAGAATTTCATCCTAGCTTGTCACTCTTCAACTGCAATCATCCGCAACCTCAACCGAAGGTCTCTGTGTTAAAAATCATAGATTATAGTTTAGTGAATTAGAGTATCAAGTCAGTAGTGTAACTATTTTAGCCTTTATATTTGCAGCGCACATGATAGAGTACATAGGTTCGTGTTTTCTGTTGATATGAGGTTAGTTTATCTTCATTTGTTCGACAATATATTATTTTTAAAATATATATATATGTCTCAGGCAGTAAGTTTTGTTCATCGGTCCAAATTACCGCACTATAATTGTACCGAAAAGTGAAATTATAAGGCTAAATATCTGAAAGTTAGAAGTAGTTAGAATTTCAGTAGTAAATGAGGTATAGATAGGTATTAATAATATTATTCGATGAGGAAGGAAGAATTTACGAAATGAAATATTTCAGTATTTGACGACGAAGAGTGGAAATGGTCGCTCTCTAATGACCAACTGTGAACCATGTGGATGCCAGCAAGGTAGTCTTCACCTATACAAAACGAATCACTAAGTCAGTCAGCAGAATGACAAGCCAATATCAAGGTGTTGTTTTGTCCACCTTTGACTTTCTTACAACCTGCTCTCATATCGTCAATTATTCTGAATCGAGTTCAACTGCACCTGAGCTTATTCTAACCACCTTAATCGATCAACATTTCAATATCCACTGTAGCTTCAAGTGTAATTGATCAGTGTAAGTCAACACATATTCACTTCATCATTATCATCAAGTTGATAATTTTTAATTGTAAAAATCACTTGAACAATAGTAATGATCATTAATTACTAGTTAAAATAAACCAAAATGAATTACAATAAGGATAAATGACAGCTCAAAATTTAAATACAACTAATAGCTCAATGGATAGAAAACTATCTCAGGATTGCTCGTTTTACTACGAATCAATTGTTTTTAAATGGAACCACTTTACATTGATGTACACTGATGGAATTCATATGGCATTTTAAATAAAACATGCTGAGAATGAGCGAATATATACATCTATACATCATTAAAACGTGTAGAAAACCTGATTTATTTATTATATAAAGGCAATCATCACATGTCATTGTTTAATGTTAACATCTTTCCACATGATTTATTTTATTAACAGCAAAAAAGAAAATTGACGTTTATATGTAGTTTATTTACGAAATCACAAATTTTTTTTATATTTACCTGTTCTTTTTTATTACTGTATATTTCTTTTACAAAAGAACACATCTATCAGTATATACTGCAAAAATAGATTACTATACTAGTAGAGATTACATGTTTTGTAGTTTTTTTCTGTTCAGTGGTTAATAATGGAATTCCATAAGTGTATTACAGTCAGAATAGAAGATATTCGTAGGTTATTAATCTTCAATCATCGGTGTCTCCGAAGCATTGCTCGTATATCGTGGGTCAACCGTATAAGGAATGCTGTCGTTAGGAAACGAGTTCTAGATAGGGATGGTAAATCAATAGATGAAGTATTGAAACTTGATCAGTTGAGGTGGTTTGGACATGTGTTCCGAATGACCAACCATAGACTGCCTCAGCTTGCGATGTTTTGGTGGTGTAGGAAGGAGTAGGTGAGAAGAAAGCTAGGGGCTATCAAATCAAAACATGGCACATATCCATCAAGTCACTGACAAATGCATTGAGTCACATTGGTAGATGCAGACTACTTGGTTGGGGCCCGCGAGATGTTAGTAATCGATGGTTAGAGGCTTTGGATGGCATAGCTCAAAAACCGTTTGCAATAGCGCAAGTGCATCGATTGTTTGGCTTCTTTCAAATCCTAATCGTCTATGTTCCTCATCACTCTTATCTTTCTCTTTTTAAGCTTATTTCACTAGATTATACTTCGTGAAAGCAATCTCCACTATAGTTATTACTTCTACTAATATGGGATATGATTTAGCAATTGCATCTCTATGTGCTAATGTGGTTTGGGAATCTGAACTGATAGATGTACGTGGGAAGTTCTACTTTGTAACTGACTTACTAGATGTTGGATCTCTCATAGAGTGTTGTTTTTCTATACTAAAACTGTACTCCAGTAGTTATGACTTCAAGCATTATCTATGAATCTATGAAGACATGTAAATGTCGTACAACTTGGGCAGATTAATGTAATTTTTTATAATTATTGCTAACAGTTATTGATATTTTTTCAACTGTATTCAATCAGTCCTCATCGATACAGTATTTCTATAGATAGAACTCTTGATAATATTGAGAGATAAACACATGATGCCTATATAAACCAAAAATAATTGATTAATGAATCAGTCAATCGATCATTGTTAGACCACCATTAGATACCTGGAATCACTGAATGACCGTCTGACAGTGATCTATTCTTTTTTTTCAATGAACCGTAACAAACACCAATAATGAACGTCAATAATGAAAAATAATTGATTAAATATAGTTTCGAAAATTCAGAAAAGCAAAAGTAAAATCTTTAACAAATATTTTATAGATTTTCAGTTTTTTAACAAAGTAAAACATTTAACAAAATGTAATTTATGGTGTGTTGTTATTATGAATAGAATGAACATTGAATTTAACTGTA